CAGTCCCAGCCCACACCCTGCTGCTGTTCCAGTAGTTCTGGTCCCACTAGCAGTACTCACCGGGCTGCCATCCCTGCCTTTCTCGCCAGCTTCTCCTCTCTCCCCCTTCTGCCCAGGTTCACCCTGCAATCGGGACACGCAGCACGTCACAAAGACCAGCAGGAAATCACCGTGACCCATCCCAACCTGAGACCCTCTCCTGTCCAGGGCAGGGGGAGGCTCACCCGCTGGGATATTGATCTGTTTGCTCCATGAGGGGAGGCCAGAGTCCCCCCATCTCCCTAGTGCTGCCCAGCTCTTTGGGGAGGGAGACATCACATGGGGACATAAGGTCTCAGCACAGCACAGCCTTGGGCATTTATTGGAAATCGGCAGAGGAACGGACTCCCATGGCTGCACAGGAAGCAGGGCTCATGCCATAGTAAAGCGCAGGGAGCGGGTGCGCTCGTGCTGCTTTGTTTATATGTAGGGCCTACGGTATAATGTGGACTTTTCCTTCTTTTTTAAAAGAATAAATTCAGAGTGATTGTGTGTGGAAGCTGCTGGCTTGACAGCCCTGGGGCTGAGGTCTCCTGTTTATAAGCCGAACAGGCAGTGGCCAGGCCAGCTTCCCCCACACACCATCACCTGCTGACATGCTTCACACTTGCCCTGGAGGGCCCCCCTTGGGGGATGCAAGTTCTCTCTCCATGGACCACTCAGACTTAGCCTGAGGAGCTGCCATTGCCAGGAAAGAACCATTCCAATGGGGTGATGAGCCACCAGTAGTGCCTTGGCAGGGCACCGGCGCCTGGATTCCAACACAGGAGGGCCAGCCCCAGAGCAGTGCAGCCAGACAGAAGGATAGCGAGAGAGAGGCTGAGGGATCAAAGACAGAGTCAAGTGCCCCAGGCAGAGGAGATCCCCGGATGTGAGCGAGACAGAGTCAGAGAGGAAGCTGGTGAAGTGCAGGTGCCAGAAGACTTACTACACTCAGACCTTATCTCCTTTGGGTCCTCTCTCGCCATCCACAGCGGGCTCTCCCTGCACAGGAGGGAGAAGAAAATGGAAGTTAGTGTCAGAAAGCCCTGGCTCAAACCATAGCCAGATAGTCACTCTGCTCTAACCATCGGGGACACGCCCTCATAGAGCAGGGAATAGAACCCAGGAGTCCTGGCTATAACCTCCAGACCACTCTCTCCTTACATCTCTCCTGAGTGGCAGCTGCCACCACCACCTTCCCCAATCCAGTAGACAGCATTGCTGCCTCTGCTCTAAGCCCCACCCTTGTTCCCACTTAGTGTTTCATTCAGTCTCCTGCTGCTTTGTCCCCTTGAAAGTACATTGATTGTCGTGGCAACAATGATGTCACCAGAGTGGGCTGAGCTCACAGTACCAGTGTCAGTTTCCAGACTGGGCTGAAGGAAGACCCTGGTTTAGGAAATAAGGAGCTTACAGGGTGATGGTGAAACACTGGAATGGGTTACCTTGGGATGTGGTGGAATCTCCTTCCTTAGAGGTTTTTAAGGTCAGGCTTGACAAAGCCCTGGCTGGGATGATTTAGTTGGGAATTGGTCCTGCTTTGAGCAGGGGGTTGGACTAGATGACCTCCCGAGGTCCCTTCCAACCCTGATATACTATGATTCCTATAACATTACAGGCAGGAATCATTTTACCCACCACTGAAATGCAGCCACCTCTGGGCTGGGGGGCTGCTGAATATCACACAGCACACTAACAAGAGTCTATGAAGGAGAATCTCTTAGCCAACTGGAATACAGGAGGAATCTAGGGACATCCTGCTCCACACAGGAATCTGGCCAGGACACAACGATTAAAACCCACGCTTGTGTGGTAAGCGCCATTAGCTCTCTGATGACCACAAAGGACCTCGAACATCCCATCTGAAACGCAGCAGCACAGCACCTCTTAGCACCACGCTGAGGCATTGGGCCAAATTCAGGGAGAGGAAAGAGTTACCAGCTCCATTTCCTGCAGCACCCTGGGAGATCTGGTGAGATGGGTTTAATGTGTGGTGCTGGGTGGAGTTGGTGGTGGTGACAGACAGGAGGTCAGACTATGCTCTCATGGTCCCTTTGGGCCTTAAACTCTGACTGAGACATGGGGTACAGACAGGGCTCCTCTCCTCCTCGGCACTAACCTTGGCTCCCTTGGGTCCTGTGGGTCCACGCTCCCCCGGAAGACCCGAGAGGCTCCCTTCCACCACATCTGCCTGGAGACACAAGAGCGCAGTGAGAGGCAGCAGCCCAGGGCCAGCAACTCTGCCGCCAACAACACTGGGAACCCTCCATGGGAATCTGGTCTCCTACAGGGCACCCGCTGACCCCTCTCCCCACATGCCCTGGGTAAGATTCCTGTTTGTCCCCTGGAGCCATAGGAACTGCCAGACCAGATCTGACTAATGGGTCCCTCTTGCCCAGGGGCCAATGGCCAGACCCAGCTGCTTCAGAGGAAGGTACAAGAAACCCCATAATGGGCATCTCTGGAAGAACCTACCCAGCCTCTTCCAGCCATGGGCATGGAGTGTCTGGCTGACGCTGTGAAGCAGCAGGGCTCGTATCTCCTCTATGTTCTGTACTAGATCTAATGAAGCTGGGTGTCCCTTGGGCCCACTGGGTCTGGAACGTCCCTTTCGGGGCCACACCCAGAGTTCAGAGCTGAGTGTCACTGGTGGCCTCCCCTGGGACCCTGCAGAGCTGTGCTGATCCTGTTAGACAGGCTGAGGGGGACTAAACCTGCCAGGCCTCAGGGGTCTTCCCATGGCGCCTGCTAGTTAAAAGGACAGGCAGGTCCTGGGGCAACTTGCCCCAGCTGCTGTCTCCTAGTTCAACTGGGGCTGCACAATGGTGAGGCCCCTGCTAAACAGAGTGATGTTAGTCACCTGGCTGCTACCGGCAGTGGCTTCCCGACACCTGTGTCTGAGCTGCCTGAAGAGCAGGACTCCATGATAACACTGGACAATAGGGACTCAAAGGCCCAAGGCCTGGGGAGGGTGGGGGTTGTATAGGATCTGCCCTGTGTCCTGCTGGCTCTTTCTTAGGCCTGGCCAAAGAGCGATGGACAAGGCTGTCTAGACCCAAGCATCTCCCAGAAGTGGGAGGCTGTGGGGAAGCATGGGGCACTCCCTTCCCCAACAGCTCAGCACATGGCCTTCACAGCTATCCCGTCCCTGTCATTCCAAGGAGCAGGGGAGTCAGGTCCTTTGCAGATGGCCCAGAGCCAAACACCCTCTGGTCCCAGTGGGCAGACCTGGACAACATTGCCAGGTGGGGACTCACTCACCTTGGGTCCCGGGGGCCCTGGAGGACCCTGCACGCCGTCTCTGCCCTGAGACAAGACAAACAGGACATGGATCAAAGACCCAGATGATCCCTCAGAGGGCAGAGCAGAAGCCATCCCCGGGGGGAAACAGCCCCACACCCCAGGAGAAGGCAGCCCCTGTACACTGACCCTGCAGCAATACCCCAAGGGGGCAGAGCGAAGGACTGGGGAGAAGGTGAAGGACTGTCCTTTATGCACTTCTTGGCCCATTCTCCCCACCCTAGTTTGGGCCCCAGATCCCAGGGACCTTCCATTCTGTGCCCCACAGTCAGTGCTCCCTTCAGGGCTGTGGGCACCATCTCTGATCCCAGCCCTTCGAGGCTCCACCTGCAAGCCCAGAGCACAACACAGGTGGACGATGGTACTGCAGCACTGTCAAAAACCTTCCCCTGCTGGTGCATGTGCCAGCCAGCTGGGGGCTTCTCCGAGTGCCCTGCGGATTCCTGCTGGATTTAGGGTAGGGCTACATGAGGAGCCACTGGACTTTGAATCATCAGTGACATGCCTGGGAGGCACAGAAGACAGCACCCCTGTCCCTGGTATTTGGAATCTAGCCCCATGGCCACAGGCTACATGCAACCGATGGCCCCTGCACCCCCATGAAATAATCCTGAGCCCCCTAAATCAGAGGGTCAGTTTCCCCTATTGGCAATCTCGATGCATGTGCAGACACGGGCAGTAATAGCTGCCTCTGATCCCACGGAGATACAGATCATGGCACGTTTGCCAGTTATGGAGAGTGCATGGTATGGAAAGGTGCAGCAGGCTGCATGCCTGGTGGGTCCAGGCCTCACTCACCGGCTCTCCCCGATCGCCCTTCTCGCCCCGATCGCCCTGCAAAGCAAAGGGGGGGGGGCAGGTCAGCAGAGCTGTCTCAGGGGTTTGGTTCTGCTCCCTCCTCCCCTCCCAAGCAAGGGTCAGTAAATGCCAGGAGGGCCCCAGCTGACAGCTTTCGGAGCAGTCTCACCGGGAGCCTGAGACAGGACTTGGGGCCCTCAAGCAGCTGAGGTCCTTGCCTGGGAACCAAAAGTCTGGTCACCGTGTAGCACAGAGTCTTCCCAAAAGGATCGTTTCCCCCTGCACAACCTCCTCAAAAAGGCCCCTAAATCCATGGGCTGCTCCCACCCACACAGGCACCCGTTGCGCCTGAGAGAACAGCCATGGCAGGCAGGCGTCACCACATCCTAGGGTCGGGGGGGAGGGAAGCCCCCTCCATTCCTGTCCCATCCCCTAGCAGCTTCACGCACTAGGCCAGCTGCACAACTGGCCACCACTGACCTTCCAATCCTTGTTCCCTCTTCCCCAGGTGTCACTCACCTTCTCGCCAGGCCTGCCAGCCTCTCCGAGCTCCCCGGCCCGCCCCGGCACCCCTGGGATTCCAGGCTTGCCAGGTTCCCCTGCCTGGCCAGGCAGCCCCTCTGGACCTCGCTCTCCGATAGCACGTCCCATGGGGCCTTGGGGGCCAGCAGGGCCTTGGTCTCCTTTGTCGCCCTTGGGCCCTTTCTCTCCAGGAAAGCCCATCACACCCTGCAAGAAACACACCACAACTCAGCCAGTCCCAGGGCTGGCGCCAGCAGGTGAGGGGACATGATGGGGAAGCTCATGCTTTGGGGCTGGATGGACAGCACTGGAGACAGAGTGGTGCTAGTGGATGGGCAGGCTTCCTTCATGGGTTGCCCCTGTCAACGGGTTTCAGCCCTGGCTTGGAGGGAGCCCTTTGGGGCCAGCGGGGAGTTCAGTCTCTAGCCAGCGAGAGACCAAGTCAGGGCTGGCTGCCTGTGGAGCACTGGGCACAGGAGGCAGGTAAGTCTCGCTCGGCCTTGGGCAGGGTAGGGCTGCACTTGCTAATGGAGTGTGATGGCAGGACTGTGCATGGGGAGACAAGGGTTAACCAGCAGGGCCCAGAAGCAGCTGGAGTCCACTGCCTTCCCAGGAAAGCAGCATGGGGCAGATCTATGAATTGGCAGGAACTGGACAGCCCTAGTGAGGGAGGCAGCTCCCCAGAGGAGATGCTGCTGAGATTCATTGCATCTCTGAGCTGTGAGGCAGAGAACCAGGGAGCCGTTGGGATTTCCCCCCTTCATCTTCCCCTGGAGACAGGGGACTCCAAAGCCGTGTGTGTGAGAGTCCTGAGGAGAAGGGGCTGGGGACTCAACACGCCTCCTCTCCTGAGGAAAGGACAAACCTGGGGAGCTGTTTGCTTGGCCCTGAGCACCGAGGGACTCAGAGAGGCTTGATTTAACCCAGGCCTGAAGTGGGGCCCATTGGGACCAGGTTCAGAGCAACCCCTAAGACGGGGAGTGTTTTATTTCCCTGGGTGCTGGCTGAAGGACCCCTCACCCACAAGGGGCAGCACAGAGGCCCCAGAGGAACTCGCCCCTCCCCTCTGTACCTGCCCCAACCCTCTGTTGGTGGCTTCACCTCACCTCTTTGCCTGGAGGTCCCCTCTCCCCTGAGTCTCCCCTATCACCCTTCGGGCCTCTCCGGCGGTCAGGGTAGGGCAGGAATGGATCAGTGCTGCCGTCATAGGCTCCAGTGATCTCTCTGAGCGAGGCAATCTGAGAGAGACAGAGCGTGGTCATCACAACAGCGGGCAAAGGAGGGAAGTCCCAGATGCTGGATTGGGGGAGGGATAATCTATCCAGGCCCTGAGCCCCCTGACAGAGGGACAACCCGGAGAGTCCATACATCCCTGAGCAAGTGCTTCTCGATCCCACCACTGCACAAGAACAGGGTCTCCTGATGAATGCAGGCAGACATGCTGGGATCCCAGGATTTGCTGCGGGAAGGTCAGTGGCAAGGACAGAGAATGGTAGGTCTGACCTTAACACTCAGATGACTTCTCCCCCGGCACACGTGGGAACAATCCCATCGTAACACCCTGCAGCCATGGCCTACCACTGCCAAAAGCCTGCCAGCAACAGAGCTGCTGGGATACCAGGCAGATGCCGGCTAGAGCCCCTGGCCTTCCCCACCATTACCCATGGCCCAGTGGCTAGGGACCTCAGGCCTTCACTCCCTTACCAGGTGCACCAGCTAGTATCCCAACCTTCTCCACATCACATGCTCAATGGCTCTGGCTTCCCTCTCGGTTGTGCACTCCCCGGACCCTGGTCTCCTCCACCCAAGAGCCTATTAGTCAGGGCTCTGGCATCCCCCCTACATCTCAGTCTCCCCTTGTTCCTCACCCACCCTTACACCAGGCTCAGGCCTCCCTCCTGCTGGTTTCCCAATGGCCAGAGACAGTATCCCCACCCCAAGTCCCATGTTTCCCCTCCCTCTTTACAGATGCCCCGTGAGCAGAGTTGGCTGTTGCTTTGCTTCGTACCTTAATACCATAGGCTTCCAGGGCACGTTCAACATTCTACGAACAGCAAGGGAAAGACAATGAGAACAAAAACAGGGGCAGCCCCCAGCCAGGGTTGCCGAGGCATAACCCCAACCTCCATCACTGCCAGCTGTGAGACCCCAGGGCCTTAGCCCTCCCCGCATCTGCCAGGGCTGAACTGGTTGCACCAGCAGATGCCCAGGTTATTTTGCAGGTGTAAGTAGGTCGCCCCCTCTGAGATGGATATGACTGGCCCCATGCAGTGACTTACCGAGACCGTCCCAGGCTCACCACGTTGTCCAGGATCCCCAGGTCTGCCCTAGTCACCATGAGAAGAAGCAGAACGACACCAGATTAGAACAGTTCTGCTCACTGCCCACCTGGCCATGTCACATGTGTCCTTCCCAGGGGTTTCCAGCAGGAGCTTGGGGGGAGGGAGGGCGCACCTGGTGAATATGGGGGAGAGAGAATCCTCCCCATCTGGGAGGACGGGGCTGAGATCTCACCCATCAGTTAGTGCGATGACGCCACTCACAGGTCACTACTGCGCTCTCCCTGGGACTGCAGGTCTCACACAGGCCCCGGTCAACTGCCTTTGTAATGTAGCCAGTCACTTGCATTAACTCTTCATATCTTGCAGCAAGCAGGACCTACCTGCTGCAGCCGGAGTCTGCTAATTCTGCAGCAGCGTCACTTACACTCAGAAAGCGAGCGCTTGCCTGAACTACCCAGGGGACTGGATTAGCCCATCAGCCAGAGGAGAGGCACAGTAGTGACTTCTATCCCAGGGACACATGGGAGCCCACAGCACATTGGGTTCACTATTTGGATACCAAAGTCCATTTTACACTGCCCCCATTTTCACTGGGCTGCAGGCATTTGTATTAATGCAGAACCACCTAAGCGAAGCCGTCGGGGAAGTTGGAGGTTGGGACAGCTGGGGCGGTTAGCACCATAGGAGGTGGTCTGGAATTGTGAAATAGCAAGAGCTTCAGACGGGTTTTGCTGATAAAATGATCAGCAGGGAAAGAGTTACTATGTTGCTATTAAATTGGCCTCATTAAGTTCCAGAGTTAACACAGGATTGACATGAGTGGGGCAGAGTTCTTTCAGGCTGGCATTGCTGCATCGGCTACGCTCGGGTCACACTCCCAAGCATTTCTTCACAGCCACCAGGGCTAGGAGGAGGCTCCCTTGGCAATGAGAACGAACATTGCAGGGCACTGTTCTGCTGCAGGGGTGGACTCAGTAGGCCTAGAATCACCGTGGTCTTCCTGCTCCCAAGTGGCAGTGACTGGCAAGGGTCTGTTTATCTCAGCTGATGGAGCTGCTCCGGTCCCCCAGGAGCTACATTCAGAGGGAATACAGTGGGGCTGACCAAGCTCTGGGTTCCCCCCCCCACACCTCCCAAAGGGCACTGCATTGGGGGGAGGAGAGGACTCAGCGCTGGCGGATCGCCCCAGGTGGTGCTGGGTACTCACCTGTTCTCCTTTGGATCCAGCCTCTCCTCGGTCGCCCTGAAACAGAGCAAGAGGAGTCAGGATCCCCTCCAGCCCAGCGATTGGAGAGTAGAGCCCTGGAGGAAGAGTTCAGCCTCGCCTCCTCTGGAGGAGCCCCTGCTTACGCCTAGGCTGAAGTGATACAGCTTGGGGAGGAACAGTGCCAAGGTGCTGAGGGAAGGGCGGATACCCAAGTTCCCTCCCCAGACAGGCAGGTGAACACATGAACCAGTGCTCCACCCTCAGCTAGCCCAGTACATGGGCTCTGCAGCCTCTGAGAACTTCTACCTGGAATCAAGTCTGGGCCAGACCCGCTGGAACCCCCACTGGCCTATTGCAAAGCCTATGGCACCCCAGAGAATGTGGGCAGAGCTCCCTTGCCATTCACACCTGGGCCTCACTGCTCTCCACGCAGGCCCCCCAGGAAGCACCATAGTCCCTCCTAGCCCGCAGCTCCTCCAAAGAAGACAGCTCACAGGAAACCAAGCCACACCCACCAGCTGGGCACAGTGGGGAGCAGGGCTCAGGGAACTCACAGGATTAACCCTTGAGGGCCCAGAGGTCTGTGCTCTGGCACAGCAAGCCAGTGGGGTCTGACAGGAGAGGCTGTTCTGCTCTGTTCGTTTTCCAGTGGCCTGGTGGGGGCTGGGAAAACACTCACCTTTTGTCCGGCAGCCCCAGCGAGGCCTGGAGCACCCTGAAAAGGTATAGAAGGAATGTGAGCAGACCCTGGAATTGCAAGCAAGGGGAGAGAGCAGCTTCACTGCCAATGGGTGGGGTCCGCAAGCACTCCCAGGGCTGGGGAGAGGAGGCCACGCAGCTTGGGGTGTCTGTGAGCACTGAGTCCGGGAGGAGGAGCCCACTCAAGCTGGGGTACTTCCCCTGCCCTGGGGTCTGCCCCGAGGCAGAGAGCAGACTGTATGGTCAGCAGTCCAATCCCAAGTGGTCCTGCAGGGCTGGAAGGAGCTTGTAGCTGCAGCTGGAGAAGAACAGGATTTCCCCAGGGAATCAGAGAGGGACCCAGGGTATCCATGCCATGGCACAATGAGCCATTACTCTGCTGTTCAGACCCTGGTGGCTCTGGACTTGACCAGGTCTGTACTCCCACCTCAGCCATAGGCATATCATCTAGTGTCTAGAGCAGGGTCTGATCTTGGGCCAGTCTCCTCTTCTCTCTCCACTCTCCCAGCTGTAAACAGCACTAGTGCTCTCCCCGCCCCCAGCTCTCGTGCAGGCTATGGGGCTCCACTCCCAAATGACCATGGGCACAGCAAGCCGTGCCAAGCAGCTGGTATTAGAAGTATTATTCTGGAGGTTACGCACCTGGCCTGGGGGTCCAACCTGCCCAGGTACACCAGGGACACCAGGAGGTCCCAAGGGGCCTGGCGCCCCACGGTCTCCTCGCTCGCCCTTGGGGCCTTCTTGACCCTGCCAAAGAAGAACAGATGCATCACCATCTGGTGCTGTTTCCCCTTGGCATCACCCCCCAAACCCTCTTACCCTCACCTCCTTCCAGCTGGGAGGGCCTAAAGACAGGTACTACAGCCAGATGACTGCTGAAAGGCCTGTCACTGTCAAAGACTGCTAGCACCCTGGGGTGCTAGCAGAAGGCATGTACCTCCCCCTGGCACTATCACCACTTGCTGTGGGTGGGAGCACCAACTGGGAGCAGACCAGCATCTTTTAGTGATGCTTTAATGGAGGTGCCAAAAAGGGAGCCCAAGAAACAACTAGGGCCTGTAAGCAATGGAGTCACTGAGGCCCCAGTCCCACCCCGATCCACTCCCCCCACCCCCCATCAGCATCTCATTAGCCAGAGCTGGGGCCTCCTCTGCCCTTTCCAGCTAAGCAGAGCCTGCCATCTAAACCCAAGCCTCTATGAGCCGGGGAGCAGAGGCCAGAGGGCGCAGCTCCCCTCATACAGTGTGTGGTGGGGGGAGGCCTCAGGACGCCGCCTGCACTCCCCTCCCCTGCCGGAGGGAAAGGTCCCGATGCACTGGAGAGCGAGGATCACTACCGACCACCCCTGCCTGCCTATGGGCAGCAAGCCGGTGCAGCCCCCAGTGTGATGGATTATCGGAGCAGAGAGAGGGGGCCGTAGTGACTGTGTAGGCACCACATGGAAGAGTCACATGTGGAGCCACCAAACACAGATAGACCCTGCGCCGAGCCCCTAAGCTGGGGGGCAATTTGTGACTGGGGTAAATCCAGGGCAGGTGGAGGAAAGGGGGGGTAGGGGAGAATCACAGGTACTTACGTCTCTGCCAGGGGCGCCAGCTTCTCCTTTGTCCCCCTAATCAGGAAAAGCCAAGAGAAAATGGCTCCTTACAGCCTCATTCCATTTCCAAATGAGACAACCAAGGGGACTTGGGCAGGGCCCAGCCACTGGGGCAGGAACCCTCACCCAGAGCCTGGGTCTGTCTTCCCAGTGGCCCCTCTCCTGTAGCCAGCAAGGTCTAGGACTGCTACTTAGTGGGGAGGAAGTAACCTCACCCACCCCTCCTGCTGGGTAAGCAAAGCTGGAGCAGCCCGGAGCTGCATGCTGGCACCAGGAGGCAGCTCCTGCTCCCATAGGAAGTACATGGTGAGAGGTGCCTGGCAGAGACAATGGAGCAGCAGGGGAGTCTGTCCCCCAGGGGAACCCCACCTGCTAGGCTGCTCACAGGCCTGGCTATCAAAGGGGGGTGGCTAGTCCAGGGGAGAGGGGCCCTTTAGCTCATTACCTTCCTCCCATCTTCTCCTGGAGTACCATCTTCTCCCTAGGAGGACAGAAACCACTAGTCAAAGCCCTGTTCCACATAGGCCCTGCACACTAGGGGGCTGGGCCCTGGGCAGGGGAGAGGTCCCAGATCAGACTGTCACCTCCACACTGGGGAGCACAATACATCCCCTTGGGTCCCCCAGGCCTCCTGACATCTGCCACACAGCCCTTAGATGAGCCAGGCTCCCTCAGGGCTAGTGGAGCTGAGGAATGGTGGGCAGCAGGGAGATGGCAGGCACTGGTGGTTACCCATGGCACAGTGGGTGCCCCACATGGGGGGCCCAGACTCTGGGCTTGGGAAGCCCTTTGCTATGCCCCTTTGACAACCCATCAGTGGAAGGTCCTGGCAAGCTGAGGACCTGCTACAGGGGTTGTCAATATTTGGCCTGTCGGGAGGGGCACCAGAGTCTGGTAAGGGAAACCCCCTTCCCTGCCCCATGCTCAGGGAGCCCTCTGCCTGCATTCAGTACAGTCTCAGGGACCCTATTGCTTTATAGGCAGCTGTCTCTTCCTCTGTCCCCACCCCATTGCCAGGGCAGCTCCCTCTTGCCCAGGCAGGTCCTTGCACATCAGGCCTAGAGACCCTGCCTGCCACAGCCAGGAGCTGCCCTTCTCCAGCAGAGGCTGGCTCCCTTACTCACGTTCTTCCCATTCAGGCCGGGTTTGCCGTCGTCGCCGGGTTTGCCCTGGAAGGAAGTGCAGGCTGTTAGCAGAGTGAAGGGCCTTCCACGTGCCTGAGACAGCAGCAGGCCCCTCCACAGGCCCCTCTGGGCTCACGCCGACCGGCAGGGTGGCTGGAGTCCAATGCTGTCATACCACAGGGCAGCAGCTCCCAGGGGAGGCTGGGTCAGGCTACCTGCCCAGGCTGTGAGCCCTGCCCAGAGAGTGATTAGCGAGGGCATGACAGCCAACAGGAGCAGGCAGCTAACTGGAGAGAGATAGACCCAGGGTAACAGCATGGGCCGAGCCAACAGAGCAACCAGCCAAATGGAGCTGCTGGGAGCAAAGGGCTGCCCCAAACCTGCCTGACAGATCAGGAAGTTCTGGGCAAGCAGCCCCAGGCCCGAGCAGGCCTCACATCAGACTTGGGTTAGGCTGCTCAGGGCAAAAGGATGGCCCAAGGGGGCAGCATGAGTCCTGGGAACAGGCCTCCCAGAGCATGTGGGACATGGTGTGAGGCAGGGTCACACCCCACAGGGCAAGCACATAAGGGTGAGTGGAGACCATGGATGAGAGGCAGCTGGAGAGCAGGAGTGACCTCATAAGGGGGTTCCAAAGAGGATGGATCTAGGCTGTACTCAGTGGTACCAGATGACAGAACAAGGAGTAATGGTCTCAAGTTGCAGTGGGGGAGGTTTAGGTTGGATATTAGGAAAAACTTTTTCACTAGGAGGGTGGTGAAGCATTGGAATGGGTTACCTAGGGAGGTGGTGGAATCTCCTTCTTTAGAGGTTTTTAAGGTCAGGCTTGACAAAGCCCTGGCTGGGATGATTTAGTTGGGGATTAGTCCTGCTTTGAGCAGGGGATTGGACTAGATGACCTCCTGAGGTCCCTTCCAACCCTGATATTCTATGATTCTAAGGAAACCCGTGGTAGGGAGGCAAGTCAGGGGGTGGGTTATCTGGGGCCCTGCCAGTGCAGGGCAATGCCAGAGGAGGTGCAGGGAACAGCCAGCAGGGATGTCCCACAACAGCCAACCAAACTACTTACAGCCAAGCCTGGTGGTCCCGGGGGGCCGATGGCTCCTGGGGGACCTTGCTCCCCTCGCTGGCCTGGCAGCCCCTGCAACAATAAAAGATCAGGTGAGAGGCAGATCCCAGCTGGGTCACAGGCAGACACGAGGGGCAGCAGTTCAGCACCAAAGGGAGAGGAGGAGTGGTGACTGCAGGGGTAAGCAGTGCCCTCGGGCCAGGGACTCTGCACGGTCAGATGGCCCCCAGGACAGCTCCACCATGCTCAGGATTTCAACACACAGCTCCAGGCCTTGGGCCCTCAGGGTAAAGCATCAGTTGCTGATCAGAGGAAGGATACTGGAATGGATGGACCCCTGTGACAGGGAGGTGGGGCGCAGAGTAAGCTGAACCAGTGCTTTGCTCTGGTGATGCCTGGTCCCATTGCTGCAGTGTTATTCAGATACTGGCCTCGTGCATGAGACTTCGGGGTGCCCCAGGGAAAGGGGGGAGTGGGTAAGCCCCCTGCCTCGTGTGACCCACCACCCCTCAGAATCAGGAGCTCTGTACTTACATCTCGGCCGGGGTCACCCTGCTTGCCTGGGTCACCCTAGAAAAACAAGAGAACATGGCGGTGATCATTGGGGATGGGCTCAGGCCTGACTCTAGGGCCTGGCCACCCCATGTCAGGGTGCTGCCCTGGGGGCTCCAGAGAGGCCTGGCTCACCTCACGGCATGAAAGCAGGAGAGGTCACCACCATACAGGCACCTCTGCTAACAGGGCCCCTAGACTCACTGGAAGGGAGCAGCAGCCACCCAGGGAAAGCCAGCAGCACCCCTGAGCTAGCCCGGCAGCAGGCACTCAGGGAGCATGGGCACAAATGAGCACAGGGCACTGCACGGCTCAGGGACACAGAGCCTCCCTCTAGGCACCGACTCAAACCCAGCTCAGGCTCCATGGGCTCTGTGGCTGAAGTGAACGAGCTGATGGTCTCCATCCATCCTCAAGGGCAGGTGCTGGCACTATTGAGCCACCATTACAGCTGGCACTATCTGGCGCCCGTGTTGGCATCTCAGCAGAGCGAGGCCAAGGATTGGGTGGGTCACCCTAGAGACTGTACTTCCCTCCCACCCTGGGGGTGTTACTCCAGGGTGCACTGGCATGATTGGGGCAGCTGTCGGCCTGTATGTGGAGAGCCCCACACAGCCCTGCTAGGCAACGCCTTCACCTGCCTTCCTACCGCAACCCTCAATATCGAGACAGCTCCTTCAGCTACAGCGGGGTCCTGGAGCCTGGGGAAGGGGTCTCCCAGGCACCTGCACACCCTGCTGTCGGGTGGCGGTGCTATCAGGGGCAGGTCACGCTCCTGGGCGTATGTTACATGGCTAGCAGGACCTGGCGATACACCGATACTCTGGTTAGTGGCTCTCCTTGCAAGGAGCAGAGCCTCTCCTAGACCCCTCCGAGGGGCAGCCTCACGCAAGGGGGATGGGATTCCCCCAGCCAGGCCACACTTACCCTTTGCCCCGCAGGGCCCATTTGCCCAGGTTTGCCATCCAAGCCGTTCCGGCCATCCAGCCCCGGAGGGCCTCGGTCTCCCTGAAAGAGAACCAGGCAGTGATGGCTTTGCACCAAGGCTCCCCCATTCCTACCTCCCCCGAGAGTCCACCAGTGGGGCAGGCAGCCACATTAGCTGGGAGAACAGATGGTGCAGCACAGGATGCAGTGGAAGTAAGGACCTTCCTGCAACAGTGATGCAGGCCAGTCCTTCGGCACTCAGACTGAATGCCCCCACCCTGCCCCATGCAGACGGGCATGCTGCACTCTGCACCCCTCACTTGGCACTGCGAGCACAGGCCAAGCATCAGGGATGCATCCCTCCTCCCCCACGAACAAGGCAAAGAGGCCCTGCCGGCTGCGCGTCCTGGTGAGAGCTCCACTTATAGACATGGTACGGCCCAATGGGGCCCCTCAAACACACCCCAGCTACACCCTCCTGCCCACCCCATGCTGGGCCCAGGCAGACTTGGCATGTTACATGAAAGTGAGGCTCTTACCTTGTCTCCTGATTGGCCTCGGTCTCCAGGGTCACCCTGTAGGGTAGGAAACAGAAGAGAACGGCTGGTCACAAGGTGAGGGGCAGAGCCAGCCAAAGCTCCCCAGCACCTGGGTGGGGAGCAGTAAGTGCTGCATTCCTCCAAAGCAGCAGAGAGGAAAGGGAACAGGGACTCACCCGAGCTCCGGGGGGGCCTCTGGGACCTTCGATCCCCTGCAAGAGGAAGGAGATGGTTCTGCTCCAGGAGTGTCAGGAGGAAATGGCTGGGGCCCACTTTCCCCCATATACTCATCACCCTGCCCCTCACCACATGAATACCTGAGAGATGAACCAGTTCCCTGCGCAGGCTCTCCCCACATGTGCATGTTCCCCAGAGGTACCAGCCCCCAGCATGCTCCATTCTTATGTGCACCTATGCCCCAAACGCAGTGCTACAGACTCCCCAACCCCTGCAATACACCTCCCCCATGCAGCCTCCCCACACTCACTGCTCCCCTGGCAGGCACCTTCCACCCCCCGCAATATGGGCATCCCTTCCCTGCGAGACAGCACCCTTATTATGCTCCCAGGAGCTACACCCAGCCCCCCAGCTCCCTCTGCCACGCCCCCCGTCCCTCCCTTAGAGCTCGGCTTGCAGAGGCTTTCAATCCAAGGGCATTTCAGTTCCAAGTGGCACCTCCTGAGACTGATACTCCCAGGCACTGGCACCTACCCTCTCTCCAAGCAGGCCAGGTACCCCAGCCTCGCCCTTTGCACCCTTCATCCCATCCTCTCCGGGGTCCCCTGGCTCCCCCTGAAATGGAAACAGCCAATCAGAACAGATTAGACACGGGACCACAGATGTTCAGTGTTTTCAGGCAGGTGGACCAGCTGTGTCGCTCCCCTGGAACCAGATTGTCCTGTATCCTCCTCCAGGTGCACCCCCCAGAGCCAAGCCCAGGTGAGCCATGCCCCTGCCAGGCAAGGAGGGAGCGGTTCCACTCCAGGACAGTCTCTCTGCAGAGTCCTGAGTGGTACCAGAACACGCAGAGCTCTAGGTTACAGCCCAGCCTCAGGCCTGGGGCCCTCAGCTGGGCTGTCCCACTCCTGCAGAGAGAGGGCAGCTCCACAGCTCCCATCCCACAGCAGCCCCCAGGAGGTAGTAGCAGCGTTACCTTCTCGCCTTTCTCTCCAATTCCTCCTCCAGGTCCCGAATCGATCTGTGGGGCAGAGAGAGGGGTCACATGCTATGGGGCCCAGAGCACAAACCCAACACAATCAGGGCAGGGGCAAAGAAATGCTGAGCTTACAATTCGTCCTGGGGGTCCAGGCGGCCCCTGCAGAGAAGGAGAGAGAGCCCAGCATTAGTGGAGGCCTCCAGGACATCTGCACAGACACAGCCCAAGACACAGCAGCACCCGGGGGGGGGGGGGAAGCCCCCTAAACAAGCTCTGCAGGGCTCCAAACCACCTTAGATATACCGCTGAACAAGAGCTTCGGGGGCCCCCACCCGGCACAGAGCCCGAATGGAGCCCGAGCTCCACACCTTGCCCTGAGTCAAGAAGCTGCACTGGGGGGTTCCCATGGCCAGGGCAGCTGCTCAGGGATGGCCACTGGTGCAAGAATCTCCACGCTGCCCCCTTGCCCTGATCTGGCCCATCTCTGGGGACCAGCTAGCCTTTGGGTACTCTGCTGAGATTGCCAGCTAGAGACTGGGCAAGACATCAGGCTTAGCACATTGGCTTAGCTGCCAGCACTGCTAGCCTGGGCTGGCTCCAAACCAGAGACGTGGAAGGGAAAGATCATCAAACCCAGCTGCCAGCGCCTGAGCTTGGGATACTTGTGCAGGGTCTGGGCGAGCATGAGGGAGGACACGTGCAGGCCCGGGCAGCACCACATGGGCCAGGGCAAATCAGCAAGTGTACAAGTAAGCCTGTGTCTCTGTGAGGTGAGCGTGCAACAGGAGCAGGGGTGTGTGCACAGTGTGTGCAATGGACACCCTGAGCCTGCAGCAGCTCCTCTCAGAGGATTTCCATTGTGCGTGGGTCATGGTGGTGCCCCGTGCCCTGTCTGCAGCTCTCTAGGTGTGACACTGGGGGCCCCAGCCTCACTCTACTGCAGTGCCCCAAGGAGAAGGGTCCCTATGGGGGTGGAGCACCCCCAGGTTGGGCACTAAACGCTTCATTCCAAGCATGGCTGAAGGGGGTGCAGCTACTCACCGGTTCCCCGCGGTCGCCCTTGGCCCCTGGTACTCCAGGACTGCCCTGCAAGGAGAGAAGGGGCACAGTGAGGGGAGGGGAGAGTCAGGGAGCTGGCTGCTGGGGAAGGAGGGGGTGGGCTGCAAGTTGTGAACTTACATTTCTGCCATCATCGCCAGAGTCTCCCTGGTCACCCTTCTCCCCGGGGAGACCACGGTTTCCTGGTAGGCCCTGGTGGAGAGACAGCAGGTGAGGCAGCGGGTCCACAGCACCATGGTGACCCCCACGCTGGAGTGAGAGGCTGGGGAGCCCAGACCCAAAAACAGGGCTGGGGAGGAGCACGGGCACTCAGGTCCAAGCAGTTATGGAGCAGGGGCCAGGCAGAAGCCCCTCCAAGAGGCCCATGGGACACGCAGAGATGGTGCTGCTGCTGCTGCTGCCCCTACAGAAGCTGGAATTCACCAGGCTCCCCAAGAGTGGAGGGTACCCAGCTGCTAGGGTGGGGAAAAGGGACAGTTGCCTTTCCAAACCCCACTGTAACATCATTCTCCCAGGCTCCGCCTTCTGGAGCTCACCCCAGCCAGTATCTCGGCTGCTGTCTCGCCCCCAGGCAGCACACAGGGCTCAGCTGGGCCCATTCTGCAGCTCCCCACTCACATGAGCTCAGGGGAGCGTGACAGCACGGAGTCCCATGGGGGGGCAGCACTTTGTCCATCCCCATGTCCCCATTTGGTCCCAGCAACTCCGGCCCCCTGTGCATCCATCCCATGATCTCCTCCCCCCTGCCACCCCACGGCATACACCCCTCACATCCCCCTCACTTACCCGGGGGCCCCGGTCGCCAGGTTTTCCGGGCTGACCCGACTCTCCCTGAGAGGGAAAGAGAGGGAAGTAAGAGAATGGTGGGAAAAGCCAAGTGTGGTCAAGCGGGGGAGGGGCATTGCCACAAAGCAACAGAGTGATCACTTACTGGGGTCCCCTCGTCACCCTTCTCACCACGTTCACCCTGCAGCACACACAAGAGGGGAAAAAGTCACCAGTAATCTTCCCTGACCAACAAAACATAGAGCCACCCATTCAGTGCACCCTGTGTGCAAACTCAGCACCCTAAATACCTCCATATCCACAAGTCCCCCATCTCCCTGGAACATACCTCCACTCCACACAGCCCCCACCATCACCCGGAACACACCTCCCCTCGATACACCCCCAGGAACATGCCTCCACTCGATAAATCCCCAGGAACATGCTTCCACTCCATGCAGCCCCCACCATCACCCTGAGCACACCTCTACTCGCTACACTCCCAGGAACACGCCTCCCCTGGATACACCCCCAAGAACACGCCTCCACTCCACACAGCCCCTGCCATCACCCTGAACACTCCTCCACTCCACACACCCCCAGGAACACTCCTCCACTCCACACAGCTTCCTCCCCAGGCATATGCCTCCACATAACCCACCCCCACCAGCCCCTCAAACGAACCTCCACTGGATACACCTCCACTCCACACAGCCCCCTCAAATACCTCTTGGATCCCCTGTTAAAAATAGCCTGTTGATGTTGTCATGACAATCTGGCACAGGGTCTCCATGGAAACTCCAGGATGTTGTATAATCACTGTGGCCAGAAACAGGCTCTCCACCAGCAGGAACTGTCTGAGGCAACAGTCAGAACTGTAGGACCAAGAGCCCCATCTGCCTGCTCATGGGCACCCTGGCATGCTCCCAGGTCATGCCCTCCTCATCCAGAGCACCTCTACATTACCTCCTTCCCTCGCAGGCCCATCTGCCCCGCAGCTCCTGGTCTCCCCAGCTCCCCCTTCTCACCGGGTTCCCCTGGGTCACCCTAGACAAGAGAAAAATCATAGCAGAGAGAGGAGAGGCTGGGTCAATGTACAGCCAGTTGGTTACAACCCAGCGCCCAGCTAAGAGAGACCCAACCCACAGCACCCATGTGAACAGTGTAGAACAAGAGGAGCCCCCCCAACACAGCCCACAGCAACCAGTGAGCCCCCCCCCCCCCACATAAACAGTGAATACCCAGAGGCACCTTCCCTCCCCCTCACACAACACAGCACCCACACGTGCAGGGTAGGGAGAGCCCCTCCCTCCCCCAAACAGAGCATCCATGCAAATGGCACAAGAAGAAAGGAACCCCTCCCCACACAGGACAGCACCTGCGGAGAGGAGCCCAGTGCACACACACAACCCAGCCCCCAGGGCAGCCAGGCAGAGGAGCCCTCCCCACACCCCCCTCACCCCACGGAGCCATTACCTTTGGGCCACTCTTGCCAGTGAGGCCGACAATCCCCTGAAAGAGAGAGGCTGTTATTGGTGACCTGGCTTCCTGCAGAGTCTGTGCCGCCCCCACTGGATGTGGTCTCAGGGGAGGCTGCAGGACATGGAGCAGCACTCGCAGGGCCTTGGGGACTGCTCCTGGGCCTTCCCATAGGCCAGGGCAATAGGAGTGGCCCCAGGGCCCCTCCAGCCAGACGCCTGATAGAGCCCTTCTTGCACATGGGTGGTGGGGGTGCAAGTCCCCAAATCCTTCCCCCACCCCAAATGCAGGTGAGCCAGGGCCCCCCACATGTGCATAGATGGGCTCCCACTTGTGCTCACACCAGCCGCTTTTGGCTCTCTGGCCCTTTACCCACCACTATGAGGGAGAGAGGGGCACAGCCCCAGGCTGATCAATGCCACCCTGGCCCAAAGGGCAGAGACTGAGCAACTCCCTCCTCAGAGAGAGCTCAGAGTCAGACATAATCCCAGGGACAGACACGAGTGGGAGCACGGCCCCATGGCCCTGATGGCACCTGGCCTGGGATGCAGGGCACAGCCAGCTGGGGGATGCCAGCCACAAGGCAGGCAGGCAAGCCTCACCCTGTCGCCCTGTTCTCCTTTGGGGCCAGGTGGGCCAGCGACACTGAATCCAGGGGGGCCCTGCAACAAAAAGAAAAGCAGGTCAGAGCAAGGCGAGTAGGACAAGCCCTTTCTAGGCTCCTCACCTGGCCAAGCTGTGGTCCTCACTGCCTCCCCCTAGCGACATTACACCCAGAGAAGATGGTGGAGCCTGGCCTGCCCTCGGGGAGGGATGGATTCCAACTCCCAGGGCAGGGAGCTACACAGGCGTGTCGGGGAGCCCCAAGCACAGGCCCAGATTTCAGACTCACTCCTGAAGAGCCCCTAAGCCACGGTGCACTGAGGAGCCACCTTGTGGGATGCAGCACCGGAGGCAGAGACCCTCTTTCCTACCCAGCTACCAGAGCTGTACGCCCCTGTCCCAGAGCCATCACCCTCTCCAGCACCAAGAGCTACTCCGGTCTCCCAGCAACATCCCTGCCCGTCCTGAGCAGGCTGCTGGCTGTGGGACTTGGGCTCCTGCCCACTAAGCAGGGAGCTGAGCCCCAAACTCACTTTGGTGAGCTGGCCCTGGGCCCGGGTCTCAGAGGGGACAGGAGAGATGGCTTTATCCCCTGGGCCCCCGCTGAGCTGCCTGCCTGCCTCTGCCAGAGCTCCTGGCTGTGCTGGGCACTGGAGCGATGCCTCTGACGGCCCAAATGATACTCACGCGGTCTCCTTTATCTCCTGCGTCTCCCCTGGAACCCGGGGCCCCCTCTGCTCCTGCAGGGCCTCTGTCACCCTGGAACGGAGGAAACAGCACCATCAGCCACACTGAGCTGATCCCCTCTGGACCCCAACACTGGCCCTCCCCCCACAGGTGAGACAGAGCCGCTCACTTGCTTCCCAAGGCAACGGGGGCAGGCTGGGCTCAGGATAGGATGACACTGAAAGGAGCCGGCTGGACTGACCACAGGTGACATGGAGCCGGGAGTGGCGGGGGGTGGAAGGAATGTGCATGGGATGCTGGTGCGAGCAGTGCCAAAGCTGCCTCTGTGCAGGTGACGTTTCCACGCTGCCCCCAGCGAAGCCAAAGCCCCCCTGCTCCCAAGCATGGGGACTCCAGCCACCTTGGCCTCAGCTTTCATGACAAGAAATATGTTTCCAGCCCTCCCAGCTGCAGAGAGCCTTCCAGTTAGGAGCTGAGCATAGCCACTGCAGCGATGGCTGCCCGCGTCTGCAGAGAGCCTGATGCGATGACCCAGTGGGGTGAGCGCCCCTGCCGATCCGACTGGAGCAGCAACTCTCAAGCCCAATGACCTCACGTGAGTGTCAACTCTAACTCTTTCACTGCTGCTGATTTGAACAGACAGAAGGGGACGGGAGTAGGAGTGACACCCTCGGGTCCTGAGAGTTGCTGCAGGAAAGGCAAGGCAGTGGGAAGAAGAGAGACACAGAACAGAGTGGCTGAAGGAGGGGAACACAGGGCAGGAATATGGCGGCCTAAAGGAGGTGTGTTCTCTCACCCAGGGCGGACCGCAGCAATAAGGCACTGAGCAGATAACGGACCAACCCTAAGCTACTACACAGAGACTGGCCTATCCCCTCAACCTCTGGGGGCATCTCCTGGGCGCTGTGGGAGTGTGCCATCCTAACCAGAAACCCTGGCCCACGGAGCAGAATCAACATGTAGTTGAGCTCGCCAGCCCTGCTGGGTAACTGCCCCCTTCCTGGGTCACATCAGCCACCACTACGCCGCAGGCCCAAGCCCCATGGCTGCACTCTGCCCTGCCCTAACACACAGTGCCAGCTGGGAGTGCATCTTACAAACTGTACATTTGCAAAAGAACTAAGAGAGGCCCCTCCCACGCCAGCGCCCCACTTCTGGGGACAGGATCATTTTCAGTTACCTTCTCTCCTTTGATCCCGGAGACGCTGGAAGCCTGGAGGAGAAACACAAGGAGAGAAACTGCTGAAATCCGTGCACTGCTCCCTGCTGGCAAGGCCACCTGGAGAGAGCTCTGCCTACCCTTCAGGGGAATTGCTACCTCTCACAGCCACCAGGGAGAGCACTTCTCCTTGGCCGGGTATCCACAGTAGCAGCCTTCTTCCCATCCCTGACTGAGGTCAGCACTCAAGAGAAGAGTGATGGGGTACAGAGGAAGAACCCCAACTGCTGGGGGTGCAGTAAGACCCCATAGGCAACGCCCCACTCCTGCAGTGAGTTATCTCTGCACCGACCTTCCCCCCAGCACCAACGCTGGGGTCCACTGTCCCAGCAGAACATGGTCCCGTGGTGCCTCTCCTGCCCCTTTGAGGATCAGTTCCCACCCTGGGTGCTGGGAGCCCAGTAACACCCTTCCCGGCCCTTGAGAATGCAGTTCCTGCCTGGCAGAGAGGCGGCCACTTACCGGCTTTCCAGGTTCCCCAGGAGCACCTTGATCCCCCTAAGGGAGAGAATGACAAAGGCCAGGGGTCAGCACCCCGCCCAGGGGGCAGAGCCTTCCCGAGGGGCAGCAGCCCACCCTGCCCTGGGAGCGTGAGGAAGCCACCAGAGAGCTCCACGTGCCGAGGGTCTCAGGACTAGTTCAATTTCCTTTGAGAGCCACGGCCCATCAGCTTATCTGCCAGCGTGGCTCACTCCCGCTGGTGGTGAGCACGCCAGCCCTCTGCACCTGGCTGAGCGCTGCAGGCCAAGGTCCCCATCGGACAGTAAGGGACCCAGCTGCCATTCCTTGGGCGTTACTTATCGACAAGGAGATTCCTGAGGGGCTTGGGGCCAGACCGGAAGATTGCGTTATTGATCTCGCTATTCCCCCACACCACAGACTTTAAACGCACAGATCCAAAGAGCGCAAGGATTCCCCTTCCCCTGCAGTGCTCGGAACCCAAGCCCAGGGGCACTGGGGCTAGTGCCAGAGACCCAGACAGTGACTCGGCCAGCAAAGTGCTACTGCCCCAGCTGAGTGACAGAGCATCAGTGGTCCCATTCTCTGTACCCAGTGAGCACAGATGGCACAAGTCACAAAGGGAGGACACCTGCTTTCTGCCCTACCAGCACCTCTGGCTGGAGATGACAGGCTGGCATTGATGTGATAAGCCAAGCGGACTGCACACGGTGCCACCTCCCTCTGCAGGGCAATCCCAGCACAGGGGAGACACCTCCTTTCTAGAAAGAGCCACCTGGGGAATTTTATTTCTTCTAAGAGCTTCTCCAAGATCCAACAGCCCTACCCACAAGTCTCACCTATCAAGGGGGATTCCCAGCACTTCTCTCCCCAGAGACCTAGAGCCCTGCCCTTCCTACCTGGACTCCTCCTCCACTCCTCACTTAGTCTCCAGGCACCCACCAAATGTCAGTGATGAATGCAAAGGGGGCAGCAGTGTGGCAGCTGACCCCTTGTCTGTTGCATTAAGGACAGTCTGAGTATTTTCTGCACTTAGGCCCAGGGTTCCTGGCCCCTGAGGCCCAGACCTGTGGGAGGGACATTGACGAAGGCAACACTAGGGGTGCGCCGGCCCAGAGAAGACACGCGGAGGAAGAGAACTCTCCACGTTAGGAGCAATGTTGGGGACATGGGTGGAAAATCAGTGCAGCTCAGGGGCGGGCGCTGTCATCTCTCACTTAATGGATGCCCCACAAATGCTCTGTTCACCCCAAGAGCTGGCTGAGGGGCCCAGCAAGCAGGACGGACACAGGTCATACCGAATGGTCCCTACCTTTTCCCCTCGGGGGCCGGACGGTCCTGGCAATCCCTGTTCCAGAGATTAGAGAGACAAGAGAAGCCCATGAGAGAACTGGCGGTACATTCGTTTATCCATGCAGGGAATACCAGCCGCCCCAGAGACTCACACCCCAGGCCAGAGCCAGACTGCTCAAGAACCATGGATGGAGACTCCAGCCCAATTTGTGCTGGGGCCCATTGCTTAGAAGCTGGAGGGAGGATCCCCGCCTGCCGAACTCTCCCACTGACTCAGTGTACTAAGCCAAGGCCTAGGCAGGGCAGTTACAGGAGGTTCCAATAGTCATGTCCCTTCCATGCATCCCCTGGGCCTGTCAAGCTCAGCGGAGGGGTAGGGGAGAAAAAACACGGTGCCAGATCAGCAGGGGGCGCCGCAGCAGACACATCTCAGCACAGGAGCATTCCTGCCCAGGCTGTGCAACAGTGTGGGGCTGGCACTGCCACGTTCCACCTGGGCTAGGCACACTCCCACACTCACCTCTCTGCCTGCTGGGCCCAGGCGGCCTGGAGCTCCCAGCTCCCCCTGAAACAGGAGAGAAGGTGTGAGTGGAAGCAGGACAGGATCTGTGCACACTTGGCATTTAGAAGTGAGGAAGGACCATCACACCCCCACAGCCCAGCAGGAGCCAACCTCCACCCAGAGCACACCCGTTGCTCAGCCTCCCCACCTCACCCAGTTCTCTGCTCCTCCCCCAACCATTCCCCGGCTGGGATCACACAGCACTGCTTGATCTAAGCCTCTGGCCAGCGCTCCTGCTCTCCTGAGCTGCAGGACGAGGGTGAGTTTGGGGGAAGGGGACCCTTTCGGTTGTGCAGAAACTCCCGGCGTCATGAGGGAAGCACAGAGAGCAGGCGCACTGACCCGCTGCATTGGCACAATAGAAGAGCCACTCTCCCCAACCAGCTGTTGTCCCTCATGTGCTGATCAGGGCCACAGAGGGGGCCACAAGGCTGAACAGAATGACCCAGGGCCAGGGATGGGACTGACCCAGCTTCCCTGGCAAGAGCTGTCCTGCCTACTACCCACCCCCAGCAATCGCAGGCCCTTGGCTGGGAAAGGTTAACCCAGAGTGAACCTACCTTCTTCCCTTCCGGCCCAGGGGGTCCGCGATCGCCCTGCAGAGGAAATGGAAAGAGAAAGGGAATTTCAACCGGGCTCATACTCGCCGGGGCCCCTCAGATAACCCTGCCCCCTGCAGCAGCTCCCTAGCAGCCAACAGGCAGCCTCTTTGGAGACCCAGTCAAAACCGACTAGGGCAGAGCATCCATCTTCTATACAGAGTCTCCTGCAGGGGTTCCAAGCTACACAGCCATAGCACGGAGCATGGTCTTGCCCATCCGGGGGCCCAGAAATCCACATCCAGTTTGTCCATGTCTCTAGCACACCTGCAGACTGTGAGCCAGTCTGTCACTGGGGAGACTGCCGGCAGACAGGGATGGTCACAGGGAAATCCCAGCCTCTCCCCTGTTCAAGGCTCCGGTTTTCTCCATCACTTCTGGGGCAGAGCTTTGGTTTGGAGCAGCAGTAACAGGCAGGGGGTGGAAAGTCCCAGGGGTGTAAATGCAGACCCCTGTTCCCTGTGCAAAGGGCGTACCCTCGGGAGGTGGGAGCAGCAGCCAACAGCACTCAGCCTCAGATCAGCAGCCCTGAGTGTGGTGCCTGCTCCAATAGTGACAGGTCACCTGCTTGGTCCCAAACTCTCCTCTTGGTTGGACGGGATGTCGTGACTCAACAGCACTGTCCCAAGGGCAGAGGTGAGCCAGTGCCCGATACTCCCGGTCCCCACAGCGTAACCCTGTGCTCCAGCAAACTCTCACCTTCTCCCCTGCTTCTCCGAGTTCTCCCGGCTGCCCGCGGTCTCCCTGTCACAAAAGAGACAAGTGCATCAGTGCTGGAGGGCACAGGGACCACGCCCGGGGATAGGACCTAGCTGGGAGGAGCCCCTGGGGCAACAGCGGAGGCCTTCGGCCCATTTCATCCTGCAGAGTTTCCAAGAGGCAGGCACCACTGGGCGAGGGGCCAGCAGATGCCTCCTGGGGGGATCCCATGAGCAGAGTGGACTGTAGCAACTCCCCATCTGCGTGGCCCTGCCTTCGCACCCCGGCACAGGAACACAGAACAGGCTCGTGGCTCCCGCTGACTTTCCCCACTTGAGGCTGCAGTGCTGTCTCAGACTGTCCCTTGGCCATCACAGGCAGAAGGTTTCTGGCCAGGAGCCCACGCACCAAAGAGCAGGGCCTGGGGGCGGTGCCCCATCACACCCAGCTTCCCCAGAGAGAGTCCAGTGGGGAAAGGCTCAGACAGGCGTCCCTGTTACAGGGCAGTGACCCAGTACAGCGGGCAGGCCACCTGCGTAATAACAATTCACACTCAGCACCTCCTTCTGGGGATCTCAAGGCACGTTATCCCCACGGCTCCAGGGACACAGACAGCCTCCCCGCATTTACAGATGAGGAAACAGGTGCAGAAGGGAGGAGAAGGGGCTGTCCCAAGGTCGCAGAGCACAGGACTGGCAGAACAGGGAATCCCAACTCCCGTCCCTGTCTCCACCTGGAACAGCCTGCCAGCAGGGAGGTCTCCCAAGACCCACCTTGCTTCCTTGTTCACCTGGAGGTCCTCTCGGGCCCTAGGAAAGCAAAGCAAGAATGTTACATCTCTCCACCAGGGAGTCCCTGGCAAAGCCTGCTGAGGTGTGTTTTCAGGGAAGCCTGGACCTATCTCCCCGCTTGATCAGAGCGAGGTGTGAGCTGGGTTGTCCAGGGGGCAGCCCGGTGGGTCAGTGGCTGAGGAGGTTGGAATCCAGGACCCACTCCTGCAGGCTCAGCCTCCGACTTCCTCAGGATATCTGTGAACACAGGGCTATTTCTTGCCCCTGCGCAGGCCTCATTGCCCGCGGTCTGAGCCAGGGCGTGAGCAGCCCCCCAGCACTGCGCCTGCTCTGTGCAGACCCCAGTTGGAAGGCTGCTTTACCAGAGCGGAGAGTGGGGAGGCTCCTGGCTGAGGTGGCTTTTAGGACTGCCATCCGGCTGCCCCAAGAGCAGCCAGCCAAGTACACGAGCTCCTCCACCCCTGGGGCAGGGCTTGCCAAGCTGCCATCCAGCTGGGGAGAGGCAGGGCTGGCTCTAGGGAGACCACCAGCAGAGCGCTGGCCCAGTGGGTCTCATGCAGCCTCTGATCCAGAGGCTTTCTCCTGCCCTGCTTGGGGCATGGACTCACGGGTCTAATTGGCCTTTCTCAGCTCTGACCACATAGCCCTAGAGCGGTTCGCTGTTCCCCACTCAGGGGGCCTGCTGTTCAAGGCTCCACAGGCCTGCAGGGTGCTCCATGCCAGCTGGGTTCATTCCACCAGGGCATGGCTTACCTCCTCTTATGGGACTCACCCGATCTCCTGGGTCCCCTTGGCGACCCGGCGGCCCTGGAAAACCTTCTTCCCCATCACCCTGGGGACAAAGAGCAAAGGAAGTGCCCAGAAAAGACAAAGGCAACATATCTCAGGGAACTCGAGGGGACAGGAGCCAGCGAGGACGGCTCTTTGAGCCCCTGCTCCTCCAGGTTAGCAGGGTGGGATCCAGGGAAACGAGGCCACTACAAGCCACAGCAAAGCCTCCTACCATGTGTGCATTGCCCCGGTCATGGCATCAAGTGCCTTTGTGCAGAAGGGAGACCAGAGCACAATCCCACGGTGGATTGGGGGGACGAGGGACGGCAGCAGATCCTGCACTAGCACAACTTGGGCTTTCCTGCGGCCCCTGCCTCTCACCACAGCCCCTCCTCTTACCTTGTCTCCTTTCTGTCCTGGAGGCCCAGCAGGTCCCCGGGGCCCAGGGGAACCAGGATCGCCAGGCAAGCCCTGAGGAACAAGAGAGAAAGAAAGAGCTGAGACCAACCTGAGCAGCACAGAGACCAGCCCTGAGTGACACGAGGGCAGCGGCCTCCTCAGCCCAGCCACGGCGTTGATGGGAAGCCAGCCTCAGCGCAAGGTTAACACTGCCCACATCTAGCAAGGGGAATTTCCCTTTCTATGGAGCCTTATTCTGCCCCTTCCCTAACTCATACCCCCCACATCCCAGTCCTCCTCACCCAACTTCCCCCCCACACACACCCTCCCAACAGAGTCACCCTCCCCCCATCCCCACCTGCCATGCATCTCCACTCCTGGCCCTGGCATGGCACGGGGAGGTACTCACCGGGATGCCTGGCTCTCCTCCGGGAGATACCCCATCAATCAGCCCGGGGGGGCCCTAGGGAGACAATCACAGGGAGCTCAGATATCACGTCACACTCCTCCTACCCCTCTCACCCGGCTATGCCCTGACGGCCCCACGAGCTCGCGCTGCACCCAAACACAGCCCACCCACCCAGGGGAGCGTGTCTTGGCTCAGCCCTGTGGCTAACTGGCTGCAGCTCCCACAGGCCAGCTCCACAATGCAGGGAGCAGAGCCCACTCCTGTCCTGTCACAGCATTGCAGGACCCCACCCGCTGGCGTGAAGGGGCAAGTGCTGCCGAGCGTCACAGCCTGTCAGCCTCTCCCAGGCCAGAGCGCAGCACACAGGGGAAGAGGCAGGTCACTTACCCGCTCCCCTCGCTCGCCTTTCGCCCCCTGCAAGAGGAAATACACAGGGTTAAAGGGAGGGCTCCCTGCACCTGGCATCCTAGCGCCCCCTGGGCAGCCCTGGGCACGCAATGCTCAGTGGGTTTGGTGCACTCACAGCCCAAGGCACCTGGCGGGGAAACCACAAGCAAAGATACAGCTCAGCATGATGCCCACCCACCAGAAGCAGCCACATGAGTGTCTGGCTCGTGTGCGCACACCTGGCCAGGGGCCACGTGTGCACAGGTGAGAGACCCACGGGAACACACAGTGCGCACACATGGGGGGGGATGATGCACGTACAGCAGGAAGCAGCAGAATCAGGGGGGCAATGGGGGCTAATTTCCATTGTGGGGGTTGATCTGTCTCCACCCCTGTAGCCAGGGAGGGTGCGAGATGGAGCAGCCTGGGGAGAGGGAACGCCTGGAGGCGGGGGCTGGAGCTGAGCTGGGCGGGGAAAGGACGGCTGGGCAGAGCCACACCGTTTAGGGGACAGAGAAGGGCTGTTTCCCTTCCAGGACAGGACCCCCTAGCAGTTGCATAAGAGCAGCAGCCAGGAAGGGGAGGAAGGAGCCAGGCGGGTGGCTGCTCTGGGCGCCCGGGACAGGGGAGCAGGGATTCCGTGCCAGCGCAGCTGCCCTAACCGTACCGCTTCCTCAGCCTGCTGTGTGCCTCCGAGGCCCAGGTGAGGGCCTGCCCCACCACCTTTCCCCAGCCCCGCTGCTGCCCGAGCCCCAGGCACTGCCTGAGCTTCTTCTGCAGCCCAGGCTCCTGGGTGCACACCCCAACCCGAAACCTCAGCCCCCCAGGCCAGGTGAGCTTCCCACAGGCAGGGCCTGGCTGTGTGGAAGGTGCTGGGGCAGGCTGCTGTATGCACGGGGTGGGGGGGAGCTGCATGCCCGGGGAGGCAAGGCATGGCAGGGCCTGCGTGCATGGAAGGAGCTGTGGAGGGGTTGCGCGGGGGCTGCCGTGCGGGTGCATGGTGTTGTGGAGGAGGCTGTTTGCTTGCATGCACAGGGGAGGGGGCACGATGTGTCTCTTCATCTAGCTGCCCAGGGCAGGGCCTCTGAACAGCTCCTCCCAAGCGGGAGGGGGAACGCACCTTGACAAACTCTCCGGCAGGTCCTGATGGCCCTGGAGGTCCAATGGGCCCAGGAGGTCCTGGATCACCGACTGCTCCTCTAGGCCCAGGGTTCCCAGGGAGGCCAGGATTTCCCTAGAGAATCAGAGAGGCTCCATCAGTGCTCTGTGCTGGGGAGCAAGTGCACCACGGACTGAGGACCCTGGATTTTGGGATGAGCCCCTGCAGCCAGCCATGCAGGTCTGCAGCGCAGCCATCAAACCCAAGTGTTGTCCAGCCAGTGCTCATATGCTGCCCATACTGCCCAGCATGTCTGTGTGCAGGCTTTGCTGTAGCCTGGCACAGCTTCGCCCTAGATGCAGGGCCCTCAGTCTCTGTGGAACAGGGTGATGGCAGAAGGCCTCCTCACTCCATGTGCTGGCAGCCCCAGAGTTGGTGGCCCAGCAGCAAGCAGTCTAAGAACCTCAGTGCGAGGCCTAGAGGGTGACAGATCCAGGCAGGGCTGCTGGGAGGGCTGGATCCCTGCTCATCTGGCACTGGACAAGCCTGCGAGTCCCTCAAACCTCCAGCCACAGGGCAGGGACAGCACTGAGAAGCACAGGCGTAGTATAACTTCTGTATCTGAGGGGGCAGCTCCAGTCAGGCTAACGGAGCTGCATGTGCAGGGGCAAATTCCGCGCCTGCCTGAGGCTTGCACTTCGGGGGGGCAATGCCCCACCACCCTCCCAAACTACGCCCATGTTGAGGAGGCCTGAGAGGGCAGGGTCCATAGAATAAGAGCTGAGCACAGATCTATTCAGAGCAGAAGTGCCCTGGGGACACCAATCCTCGTGCAATCGGAGATTCATCGGAACGCTCTCGGTGCCACTGAACGGATGCCAGAGGTTCACACCATGGGGTGGAGAGATACAAAGCCGCCCCCCCCACAGTCTCACTGGGGGTGCCAGGGCCCTGGGCTACAGGACCTCTCCTTTCGTTCCTGTACCCCAATGACCGCACAGTCCAAACCTGCTTTCTACTACGTACCGGACTCCCAGGCTCCCCTTTCCGGCCAGGCAGCCTCCCTCCTCCGTTCACAATCACTCCTGGATCTCCCTACACAAAACAGAAGGCCAAACCTCAGCGCACCAGCCCAGCCCCGTATACAAGTGCCTCAGCTTCTCTGGGAGAAGACATGGCAGCTGTACCAGCAACATTGCACCACAGTTCAGGACGGGCAGCGAAGAAGGAATCGGGGAAGGCTGCACAGAGTTACCAGAGTTGGACTCTGGCCAGGACGTGGGGGTGAACGTAGAGGTGACTCTTGGGCAATGGGCCAGGGGACCGTTCGTGATCACAAGTGGCCAGGAACTCAGTTTTATGACTTATCCAGCAGCACAGCATCCCTGGCACCAGGAGACGGCACCGAGATCAAAGGAGAGCAATCCCTACTGAGTTGTTCACAGCACTCCAGAGCCAATGGCGTCTCCACTCCAAGCATTGAGCTGGTTCCACCCTGCTCAGCTTGGGAGTGCTGCTGTGACCCCAGTATGAAGTGTGTGTAATTTACAGAGAGGTGTCTAACTGGATCTAAGGTGGAGGGCCTCCCTCTAGCCAACGCCAGAACCTGCTCCTGGCAGCACTGCCTGGTAGGGCTGCAGGACACAGACCTTGGAGGGATCAGGGGTTACATAAGGTGGGAGGGGCCTGTGGACCCCCCCCCACGGCTAGGTGCCGGCAGAGGCTGCTGCAGACAGAACTCGCTCGCTCTTTCCGAGCGGAGCCTTTGGGATTGCCCTGCTTGGTGGGGAATCCAAGACGGTGGCCATGTTAGGTGGCACTGGACGGGATGCACTTCTACCTACCGGCTCGCCTTTCTCTCCCCGCTGCCCGGGAGGCCCCACTGGGCCCTGCTCCCCCTGGAAGGCAAAGGCAACAGTGAGCAGGGGTGCTCCAGAGCAGGGAGCAAGGCTAAAGGGGAAGCGGGAGCTCTACCTACCGGGAGCCCTCGGAGGCTGGGAATGCCTTGTCTACCCTGAAAAAAAAAATAAAAAAAAAATCAAACAACAAGATGAGGAGTGTCCTCCGGCCAAGGGAGCAAGAGACTGAAGCCGAGAGATCAGGTATGCACGTGGCCATGCACGGAGCAGGACGCAGACACAGAAGCAATGGAGCAGGGTAATCACTACAGTCCATGGCACTGAAGTTACAGTCACCACAGGCAGGAGGTAGGACCTGGAAGGGGATCGACACGGGAGATGACAGGGGCAATGCGGGTCTCAGAGACCCATTTAATCTAGACTTCTACAGCCCTCGTTACATGGGATGAAGTCAAGTAATAGCCAGTGCTGCAAAGTATCACGGGAAGGGGGATGCAAATTACCTGGGGGGCAAAGAACAATGGTAAATATGGCCCAAGAGGAGGAACTAGGAGGAACTACTTACCGGTTGGCCAGGAGAGCCAGAGTTGCCAGGGCGACCAGGGTTTCCTGGGATCCCATCCGCTCCTGGGAATCCCTGGGAACGGAGAAGGGAATAAACCAGCAGGTCCTGGCTCTGCTCTGGCCACTGCCCCCACCATTCCCAGGCAGGTTCACGCCCCAGAGTGAAAAGCCATTTACATTCAAAGCCATCCCAGAGTGCTGAGCCATGCCGAGGCAGCCACAGGGGCTACATTTGGGACAGGGCATCTCGGCTTAGAGGGTCCCATCAGCTGGGATTTGGCCAAAGCTCTTACTGCAGAACCCCATTTGGACTTGCTTTTAGCTCCCCAAGCGATTCCATGGGGATAGAATCTCTCCTGGGTCCCAGTGCCAGAGAAACCCCAGAAGAAAGTGGGTTGTGAAAGTTAGTTGCATCCCCAGCACTGCCAATGGCCCTGGTACCTCTGACCCACAGCCTGTCCATGCCCCTGGAACCCAGCACTGCCAATGGCCCCGGTACCTCTGACCCACAGCCTGTCCATGCCCCTGGCACCCAGCACTGCCAATGGCCCCATTACCTCTGACCCAGCCTGTCCATGTCCCTGGTACCCAGCACCGCCAATGGCCCCAGTACCTCTGACTCAGCGTTGTCTGTGCCCTCGTACCCAGCACCACCAATGGCCCCAGTACCTCTTACCCAGTGTTGTCTGTGCACTGGTACCCAGCACCACCAATGGCCCCAGTACCTCTGACCCAGCGTTGTCTGTGCCCTGGTACCCAGCACTGCCAATGGCCCCGGTACCTCTTACCCAGCCTGTCCGTACCCCTGGAACCCAGCACCGCCAATGGCTCTAGTACCTCTTACCCAGCCTGTCCATACCCCTGGTACCCAGAACCGCCAATGGCCCTAGTGCCTTGTACTCGGTGCTGTCCATGCCCCTCGTGCCCAGCACTGCCAATGGGCTTCAAGGGCATGCATGCCACCAATAGGGACACCAAGGGGCTCCATAGTGGACATGGGCCTGGGGGATGCACCCAGAGGGACCCCAGGGCACTGGCTTGGAAGGAGATTAGAGTTGAACAAAGTGGATGTTCTGCCCCTACAATGCAGCCATCCAGCCCTGGCCCCTCCCGCACGGCACAGGGTGTGAAGGGCACTCACTCACTCTTTCCCCCTTCTGGCCTGGCCGCTCGATGATCTCGCCTGGGGCACCCCGTGGCCCCATTGGTCCTGGGGGGCCCGGAAGCCCATTGAGCCCCTAGAAAGGAGAGGAGAGAAAACAGCCATGGAGAAATGACACGGGGTTATTACGTGGGGATGCGCCCCCAGTGGTAAGGGCAGGCTCGGGGCCTTGGGAGGCTGTAACGATGCTGGTTCTGGTGGGACCCAACTGAGAGTATTAATTTAGGACAAACTGCTTAAAGCAGGGCAGTTACAGCCCAAGGCTAGGGTTTCTATGCAAACCAAACCTTGTCTTAGACACCTGATTTGACCTCCTTTATACCAGATTTGGTGCCACTACAGAAGCTTGGTTGCAACAATGATCTATATGGTCCCAGATTATATTAAGAACGTCACAGAGGCCCCTCTGTGCCCATCCCCCTGCAGCACCTCCTTCTCCTGCTCTCTGCGCCTCTCCAAAGAAGAGGCAGGACGATTGGCTGCCACAAGAAGCTTTCCCAGGCCAGGCCAGTGAGGGCCCCCGAGGAGCTCAGCGCAGCAGGAGGCCCAGGGAGGGGTCCCTTGATCTCCCCCTGCCTGCTTACTGGGAAATTGTAATAAGGCCCCCTAAAAGCCCCCGCGCTACTCCTCACACGAGCCCTCACTGCGCAGAGGCTCTGGGGCTGTCAGCGGCATCACCCCTCAGCTGAGCTCCCCAGTCCCAGCCCTGACACTAACCCGGGGTCTGCACCCGACCCACACTGAGCGCAGGGAGAGCTCAGCACCACAACCCCACAACCCAGGGGCCCACACACAGAGGGGGGTGTTACCGGGTCTCCAGGGGGGCCAGGCTGCCCCACACGTCCTTTCTGCCCCTGCACAGAGAGACAAAGACAGGAATGAATGGCCGTTCCTGCTCCCAGGACGCAGGCAGATCAGCAGTCAGAGCTTCTAAGTCCATCAGCTAAGCCACTACACCAAAGCGGCTTCGCAGGCCCTGGGAGGGGAGCAGACCCTCCCCCGCCCTGCACCCCGGCACCCCTCCAGCAAATCCTGTAATACTCACAGTCTGGCCGGGCTCCCCCTTCTCACCCTGCAGCAAAACAGCAAAGAGGCCAGTTAGGGGGCAGCGCAGCCACAGGCGGAAGAGCCACCCGTGGGCATCTCCACCTCCTGCACCTAGGCCCAGCCATTCCCCAGGGCAGCTCAGACAGCGATGGGGCTGGCCAGGCTGCACCAGGAGTCAGTGCAGAGCTGGCAGGGAAAAGCCATCACCCAACCCGCCTCTCCCCACCTTCCTGGCCCGGGGCCTCATGCTCTCACACCCACCACCGTGGCAGTTACACCTGGGGGTGGAGCGCCCTCACCTCCCAAGGGCACCTCGATATCTCCTGACTCCCCACTTTACCACAGCCTGGAGTCCTCTCGCCCACCCCCTCTCCAGTACGCTGCCCCAACCCAACCAGGCCTTTCACACAGCCCAGCCCTTCCACGCTGCCTCCCCTCCCACTGCACTGATCCCCCACAATAACTCCATGCTGGCCCATCCCCCGCAGCTCCAGGAGGGGTCCGGCTATCTGCAGTCGCTCTCCTGCAGCCCTGTCTAGGGCCGGCTTCCTCGTGGGAGGAAGCTGCAGAGGTGCTGACTGGCGTGGGACTCACCTTGGGACACTGAACTGTGCAGGGCTCCAGCTGAGGGGGAAAAGTTCTGCATTAAAGAGTGCCCTGGGCAGCCAAGTCAGCTCGACCCCGTGCCAAGCCCCTGGGGCAGGGAGCAGCACCCCCCACCTGCAGGGGGACATTATACACGTGGGCCACAGAGATGCTGCATGGGCAGGGGGAAGGGAGAGCTGCCCCCAGCCCCACGGCTTCAGTCACCTGTAGCTTCCTATCCCCCCACCCAACAGCAGCTCCAACCTGGCTCTGGGATAGCTCCCAGGCCTGCAGTTGGGGGCAGCCCCAGGGCCAGGGTTGCCAACTGTCTAATCACACAAACCCAAACACCCTTGCCCTGCCACTTCCCTAAGGCCCCGCCCCTTCTCTGAGGCCATATCCCGCTCATTCCATTCCCCCTCCCTCCATCGCTTGCTCTCCCACACTCACTTTCACCGGGCTGGGGCTGGGGTGCGGGAGTTAGTACGGGCTGTGCGCTCCGGAGTGGACTCAGAGATGGGGCACGGGTTTGGAGTGTGGGAGGGGGCTCAGGTTGCAGGCTCTGGGAGGGAGTTTGGATGCAGGAGGGGGCTCAGGGCTGGGACAGGGGGTTGGAGTGTGTGGGGGTGAGGGGTGCAGGCTCTGGGAGGGAGTTTGGGTGCAGGAGAGGGCTCAGGGCTGGGGCAGGGGGTTGGGGTGCAGGCTACAGCTGGGTGGCACTTACCTCAGGCAGCTCCCAGTTGGCGGCGCAGTGGGGCTAAGGCAGGCTCTCTGCCTGCCCTGCTGGCATGTCCCTGCGGCCCCTGGGTGGGTGGGCAGGGGGCTCCGCATGCTGCCATTGCCTGCAGGCACCGCCCCTGCAGCTCCCATTGGCCGCAGTTCCCAGCTGCTGCGGAGTCAATGCTCGGGGCAGGGGCAGCACGTGGAGATCCTGCCTTAGTCCTGCTGTCCCACCGGACTTTTAGCGGCCTAAAATCTCCCAGTTTGGCTTCGGTAGCCTCCAGGAGCTAGAGACCAATTCTGGGAGACTCCTGGCAAAACCGGGAGGGTTGGCAATCCTACCGGGGCAGAAGGCAGCTTCCCCCTGGCAGGCCACTCCCCCCTCTTACCCTGTCTGTGACAGTCACCCTGCAGAGGGTGCTGGTGAGCCTGTCCTCCAGCTCTGACAGACCAGCCCTCGAATCCTTGGCATAGAAAACATGGCGTGGGTCTTCATTGGTGACAATGCGGCGCAGCTGCTCACGATCTGCCCCGTCTATGCCCACCGCCAGCACCTGGATCCCTGCACAGAGCAGCAGACAGGAGCCTCAGGGGGACCAGCCTGGCACTAACCCCCCTGGACCCACTGCTCAGGGGAGTGAAGGGAAAGGGGTTAGAGGCTCCAGCACTACTGCCCTGAGCAGGGGTTTTGACCAACCCTAGTGGGTGGAAAAGGACTGTTTGCTCTCGGGGCAGGCTCGGGACAGGCCTAGCTGTCTGGGACTTATGCCCTATATCAGTGGAGCATCGGAGAAGACAATGGCAAATCCAATTGCTCAGACATTGGCACTTAGCATTCAATGACCCAGAGGGAGGCTGAACAGCATTTCCCCAGGGCGAGAACAAAGGACTGGAAAAGGGTGAGGTGGGGGGGGATCAGAGCTAGCTACTGGAAGGCGTCTGGGCTCTCACCTGGAGTCTGATGGAGAAGATCAGACGGAGGGAGACAGACACAGCTTGAACCAAGGGGTCACTACAGCTTGGCTGGGCTCTACTAACCAGAATGGTCTGTGCTTTAACCTTCAGTTCTCTAGACTACCCTAAGGCCTTCCTACGCCCTGCTCCAGTTAGCGAATTAACCTGACTGTGGAAGTGTCACTGCAAACGCTCGGTGAGGTGCATTGATCCCCCCCAAGAGCGGGCAAGTCTCCCTCGGGGTCTGTCTCAGCTGGACTTGCTGAACAGTGTGAAACAGGAAAGCTGCAGGTACTGAGGACCAGTCAAAGGAGGCGGTGAAGCCGAGTGGTTTACCCTGGAGAAAGCGCGAGACCCGGAGGGGGACTGGCATGCTGAAGGGGTTCCAAAGCTGGGGGTGTAGCACCGATCATGTGGGTCTGTGACACCCATCCCACCCTCTCCACCTGGCTCAAACGCCACATCCCAGCTCCAGGGATCCAGCTCTCACCTGCTGCCTTGATCTCCCTGGCCGGCCCAATGGCATCGTCACCAGAGGGGCTGTCTGCCAGCACCACCAGCACCCCTGGCACACCAGGCCGGCGCCCTGCACTGGGGCTCAGCATGTAGGTCCTGGCAAAGTTGATGGCAGCTCCTGCAGAGAGGAAGGGTATCACTACAAAGCAGGTTTGATGCCACCCCCATCTCACCCCCCATAGGGCCCCGCCACCTCCGTCCCCTCCCCCATCACCACTCACCCCCACCCAAGGTTAACTCTAGAGCGGGACCTTAGCCAACTGGGAAGGTGTTCCCATGGCCTGGGGGTGCAGAGTCCAACCCGCCACTGCACAGGACTCTCAGAGTACAGGACCACCTCCCTTCCTGCCCCTCCCCCATACTGTGTTCTGTCCTTATCCCCTGGCACCATGGCATCTAAGAAGCACGGCATCCAAAGCTGGCATCACTCCCACCCCATGGCAGGCACTGTGGGGCACCCTGGGGGAGCCCAGGCTGCAGGCACAGTGCCCCTTACCCAAGGCATTGCCGCTGGGCTCCTCGTAGCGCATGGTGCGGATCCGCTCCAGGACAGTGCCCAGGTCACTGGAGTGATTCAGCAGGACCCACGGGATGCTGCGGTAGCTGTAGATCACTAGGCCCACCTGGGGAAGAAGGCAAGAGGTCAGCCAGGCTACTGAGATCACAGCCATGCTGCGGTCCCAGGACGGGGTGGGACCAGCCCAAGGGCAGGGGAAGGGGAGACACAAAATGGCCTGAGGCAGCCCCCAGGGCAGGTAGAGGAACAAGGGGTATGTGTGCAGGGTGCACGTTCCTCCCCCTCACCCCCTGCATCAGTGGGGAGAACCAGAGCCCAGCCCCCAGGCCAGCCCTGCCCCCCAGTACCTGGGAGGCATCGGGGCCCAGCGGGCCCAGCGCTGAGACGGTGTTGGAGAGCAGGGCACGGACGGTCTCGGCGCTGTAGGCACTGTCCCGCGTGCCATGCACTAGGAAGATGATGTCACCGCGAGCGTCCCTGCAAACTGCACAGGAGAAGGTGATGAGGGAGCCCCTAAGGGGTGGTGGGACAGGAAGAAAAGCCCAGCCCGGCTTAGCTCCTGGGGGTGGGCCTGACAAAGGAGCTGCTCCCAGCACCTCTGCTCTGGAGGGCCACTCCCCTGTGTGCAGGCCAGGCTCCCACCCGCTGCCCCGCAGCTCAGGATCAGGGGCAGCTGGTGCTGGAGAAGCCTCCACAGCCATCAAACAGACCCAGCCTGGGCAGTGGCAGACGAACTTCCCCACACGGTGCCCCTACCAAGCGGTAGCAGAGAGGTCAGGCTCCAGGTGAGGCCTCACTGCTGTGCTGAGCTGCCAGCTGACTAGCGAGAGCTCTTGTCCCAGCAGCAACCAGGCTGAGCCCCAAACTTCTAAGTGCCCCAATGGGGCAAGGCCCCACAGCCCAGTCCCCACCCCCCCCACATCCGAAAAGGAGCCGGACTGGCCCTGGGAGCCATCCAGGCTGTCCCTTACCTGTGCGGTCGGTGAGGGTGGACTCCGCGCCCCTGGCGCTCCCGAACAGCGGCCGGATGGTGAAGAGGTATCTGTGCCCCAGCCGCAGCCCCGACACCTGGTGGGAAGTTGCTGACCCGGGCAGTGTACTCTGCGTCTCGCCTCCCTCTAACCCGAACAGGGACAAGGGACCTCAGCATAGACAGGGTCCGAGGGAGGTGGGCCCTGCTACCCATCCCCTCTTCCCCCATCTCTCTGCCCAGTGCTGTCTCCCTTTGAAGGGGTATTTGAACAGGGGATGGTCAAGGATCCCACAGCAACGGAAACAGACCCTTTTTCCAGAACCCCAGACTGGGCTCAGCTCCACCCCATCCACCCTGCCCCAGAGCGACCCCCCGGCAGGTCCCCATTCCCAGCAGTGACCTGGCCTGTCTTGAGCAGGCTGCCAGCTGGGGGAGTTGGGCTCCTGCCCATTAAGGGGGGGCTGAGCCCCAATCTCACTTCAGTGAGCTAGCCCCGAGCCTGGGTTTCCTCTAGGACTTTGCACAGCCTTAGCCAGGACTTCTGCAGAGCTGGTTCTGGGCAAGCGAGGGGGTCCCAGAGCTGGGAGCTAGCTGTGGCCCAGCATGGAAGCGGGGTTCCTATCTCTTCAGGAGGGCCCTTTCTTCAGGCAGCCATGGGGCGCAGCTCCATGCAGGCTCTAGGGGTCCCTGCTGTAGCTCTGCAGCTCCAGAGGCAGCCGTGCTGGAAAGCTGTTCGTTACCTCTGGGCAGCTTCCAGGTGAGGAGGTAGCCGGTGGCTCTGGGAGCTGGAGTCCAGGCCAAGGTCACAGAATTGTCTCGGGTCTCCGTCACCCGGAAATTGGTGACTCGGCCCAGAGGTGCTGGAAAGGCAGGAAAGAATAGGGTGTAGAGTGTGCCTCCCACTCCAGCCCAAGGGCCTGCTGCCACCCCAACCCTCACCAACAGATGGTGGGGGCACGGGGAGCAAACCCAGCCCACCAGGCAAGGGAGAAGGGGTCGGGGAAGCACAGTTCTGCATTTCGCCACAGGGTGGCCCCCTGGCTCCAGACATGGCTCAGCCAGACAGGGTCTCTAGGGGGCAGAATTGGGTTCCCCTTAAGAGAGCCGGCTTCTAAGCCTGCTAGGTTGGCTCAGACTCCAGAGAGGGCAAAACTTGTCCCATCCCGCTCCCCGATGACATGCCAGCGAACAGCCATGGTCGGAGGTTTCCTTCCAGGTCCTCAGACCCTGGGCTGGGAAGGACAGAGCCGGCCTGCAAGAGGGTCACCCGTACCAGTGTTGGCAGCGATGCCCACAATCTCGCTCTCCTGGCTGCCCACCAGGCTGGTGATCCGGATCTCGTAGCGCTCTCCTGCCTCCAGGCCTTCGATGTCGTAGGAGTTGACGTTGGGGGCGAGCAGCTGGCTCCTCTCCGGCCCCCCTGCCCCAGGGGAGAGACAGGGTTAAATGGGGCAGGGCATGCCAGGAGAGATGTGAGGGAGGAGGGGAAGGAGCTCACCATCTGCTGGCCTCCAGCTCAGGCGGTACCCGGTGCTGCCCGGCGCCGGGCTCCAGGTGAGGCGAATGCGCTGGTCCGAGGAGTCAATCACCCGCAGGTTCCCCACAGGCTGGGGGGCCACCTCTGCCGCTGGGGGTCAGCAACACAGAGGGATGGGGTCAGGGGAGTAGAGTCCTTGCTGCAGCTGCCAGGCTGGGTGCGCAGAGAGGCTCCCCACTGGGAGTCCTGGCCCACATGGGCAGGCTGGGGAGCACTGGGTTGGGTTCCTCAGCTTCCTGTCAGAGTTCGGAGAGGTCCTGGCGGGGCCGGAGCTGTGCCACGAGGCCTGGGAAGACCTCTCTGGGCGACTCTTGCCGGGGCAGACTTGCTGCTAATTCCCTGGCACAGGCATCGCCACCTCCAGCTCCCACCGGCACTGCCCACCAGCTCAGGCCACAGATCTTAGAGCAAGGAGCAGATGGGAGTTCCAGTTCCCTGCACACACCCCACTGGGAGGGCATTACCCGGGCCCAGGGCACCCTGGACAATGGCAGTCACCAACTCCACCCACAGCCCAGACTAGGCCCAGCAGGGATCCAGGCCTCCCATGGCCAGGCATCAGCACCTACGTGTGGTGACAACGATGGAGACAGGGTCACCCTCGCGGTTGCCAATCAGTGCTGCGACCTTCACGGTGTAGCTGACCCCACCCTCCAGGTTGAGAATGTCAAAGGAGCTGGTGTCACCAGAAACCACCTTGCTCGACTCGGAGTCCCCTGCAAAGGAACAGAGGGTTAACATGGTGCCCGGAAGGGGCAGAGCCGGCAGGGATGCCAGCCTCGTTCCTGGTGCCCGGAGCGGGGGGGGGGGGCGGGAAGGCAGAGCCAGGCCCTGGCCCTCCACTAGCTGGTGATGGCGAGTGATCCCGTCTCATCAGGGGAGGGAGAGATTCATCTCATAATGCCCAGCTCCAAGGTTTGTGCCAGTCAGATAATGGCAGAGAGGAGACTCCAGGGCTGGAGGCAAAGGCCTTCTGTCCTTCGAGCGCGGGAGGAGTGGAGTGATGGGATCTGCAGGCCAGGGCAACCATGGGCACAGCCAGGACAGAGCTGGGCAGAAATTTGGGGACGTGGGCACCACAGGCAGTGGGTTGGCCTGGCTGGGTACATTACCGTCTCGCTGGCTCCACACCACCTTGTAGGCTGTCGCCCCAGGCACTCCAACCCAGGTGACCCGGACAACGTTGCTCCTGGACGAGAGGACCTTGAGGCTGGAGACTGTCCCCACCTGCTCCGGAGCTGTGACAGAGGGCAGACAGGACGCCTGGGTTACTAAGAGATCAGTATCGCACAGAGCCACAAGGGGCAGGGAGGAGCTGCACCCTGGGGCCAGGCGAGGCCTCACCTGTTCTAGCCGTGATGGTGATGGGGCTGCCTTCCCTGCTGCCAACCAGGGCCGAGACCCCAATAAGATAGATGGCCCCGGCCTGCAGCTGCTCGATGCTGAAGGAGGTCCTGTCGGCTGGCAGGACCCGGGAGATCGCCTGGCCTGGGGAAGAGAAGCACAAGCTGCAGGGGTTGGATTTCATAGGCAGGGCAGGTCTGGGAGGGCGGGGGCGGGCTAAGCTGCTGCAGGAGGGACACCCCAGGCCAAGATGCTGTGACAACCAGGGAGGACCACGGCCAGCATGTCATGGCCGCACCCCATCCAGCAGGGAGGGAATGGCAACAGCAGCTGCCATTTGGATGTGACCCACCAATCTGGGAACAGCAGGGGCCAGGATTCCAGTCTGTGCTCTCCCCAGGGAGCAGGGGGACGGGGTCTCCTCAAACAATGAATGATGGGTTAGCCAAGCACAGGCCATTGAGCATGGAATGGCCAAACCAAGCCCCACCCTGCCTGCAGCTGGCACTGGCCTGCAAACCTCCGGCAGCAGGATCTGCTCGGTGAGGCTGCAGCTTATTCCCAGCTATGGCACAGCCAGCCCAGCTGGCCCTAGAATAGGTTGGGGCAGCAACGTACCCCAGGCCAAAGGCACTGCAAGCTGTGGGCTGCCAGTGAGCAAAGGGGGTCCTGTCACCGGCTCTAAGCAAGAAGCCAGGCACAGACACCAGTCCCCTGCTCTAACCACTAGACCATGCTGCAGTTGGGTGCCTCCTAGCAGGGGCAGATGGGTAACGGGGGCATCCCCCAAGGCAAGGAGCCAGTCTGGATAGTCTCACCTCAATGGCCCACCTGAGCGCACACGCATTCAGTACACCTACCATCACTTGCCTGCCACGTCAACTTGTAGCCAGTTGCCCCAGGAAGCCCACTCCATGCGACCCTCAGCTGGTTGGGTCTCATCTCAGCCACCCGCAGGTTGGTGACGCTGCCCACAGACAGGGGATCTGCAGGGCCAGAGACAGCGTCAGCCCGGACCCCAGAGACTCGTCTGTCATGCCCGGTCCCCGCAATCAGCCCAGCCAGAGGGCAGGAACAGACGTTGGTGCTAACCAAGGGCTGCATACCCAGAGCCTTCACTGGGAGAGCCGGACGCCCCGCAGTGGTAACACCCAGCCCCGCAGGCTTGCTGGGAGAGCTGGACCGTTCAGCCCAAGTGCTGAGCCAGCTTGCTGCCCCCTAAGGGCTAGCCGTGCCCCTGCGCGGGTCCCCACGCAGACGTACCCAGCTGGACAGAGATAGTGGCAGGGTCACTTTCCTGGCTGCCCATCAGCGTTGTCACCTGCACCAGGTATGTGACTCCCTCCTTCAAATCTTGCAGCTCAAAGAAATTCCGGTTGCCGGGGACGTGCCTGGTCTCCTCTGAGCCATCTGCAGCAAGGGAGAGCACAGGGGAGTCGGCCTCTGTGCCCCAGCAGGGAGCGAGGCTCCCACAGCATGGCTACTGCGGCACGGGGCGGCTGGGGGAAGGGCTCTCAGACACTCCAACGCTCCCAGGGGAGAAGGCCCTAATGTACTGGTGCATGCCAGGCTCGCCCAGCACAAAAGCCCCTGTCACAGCCACCCACAGCCATGTCCTGCCCCCCTCATAACTCCCAACCCCTCCCCTGCCCAGTCACAGCTGCCTACAGGCCCTGCCTTGCCTCCCACAGGCCCCTGCCCCTCCGCCCTGCTCAGTCACAGCTGCACGAGCCCCACCCTGCATCGCCCCACAGGACCCAGCCCCTCCATCCCACTGCCCCCCATGGGACCCAGCCCCCCCTCCCCACCACAAGATCCGAGCCCTCCACCCTGTTCCGCCCACAGGACCCAGACCCTCTGCCCTGCCCCATCACAGCCCCCCATTCTGCCCACCTTTTATCCATGTTCCACTGACATCCCTCCATGTGCCTCAGCAGACACCCCTGCACGGCAGAGCTCTGCCAGGCAGAGAAGTGGGTACCAGCAGGCATGGCCCCCTTACCACAGCCTATCCAACGCCATGCCCACACTCTGCAGGCCAGCTCTTACCCTGCCTGTTGGTGATCACCAGCTTGTACTCAGTGGCCCTGGGTATGGCACTCCACAGAAGCCGCACACGGCCCACGCCCACAGGAACCACTTGCAGGTTGGACACGCTGCTCACTGACGGCTCTGCCATAGAGACACAAGGGAACCCCCCAGTCAGACAGAGCGAGCCCAAGGGGCCTGGCCCAAAGCCTGCTGGGGGAGCAGACATGACTACCCCAGGGGAAAGGTGCAGCGACCAGGCCCGCGGAGTGGGGGTAATACCGGACATAGCACGCACGGCTCGTAGAGTGGGGCTGGGTGCAGTGTTCAGGGCTCATGAGCACCCCTTGGTGTCTGTTCTAGAGAGACACTGCCAGCTGTGCTGAATGCCAGCTGATCCTGCTGCTGGGGGAGGGAGCATGGGAAAGGAGCTAGGAAAAAAGAGGGACTGACCCCTGTGTGAAGTGACAAGAACCCATCTCCCACCCATGCCCCAGTCAGAGCTCCCGGGGTTGCTGGGAAGAAATCCCATCTGACTGTGCCTGGGACCATCTCCACGAGAGGAGAACACTCAGTCCAGCCTTTCCTCCCTGGGGCTGACGCAGGCCAATCTCAGCTCCCACCCACCCACCCACCGGGGCTAGCTGGCACTCACCAATGCGGACACTGATGGGGACAGCGCTGCCCTCGCGCCTGCCAATCAGGGCTGACACACGCACTACATAGGTGACCTCCTCTCTCAGGTCCTCGAGCTCCAGCGTGGTCTGGGTGCCTGGGATCTGCCTGGTCTTGTCACTGCCATCTGCAGGGGTGACAGGAATGAAGAGGCTCAGGGCTCCCTCCAGCTCTGATGTCACAAGGGACTCTGACATAGCTGATGTGACATCCCTGCTACCCTCAGACCCAGGTACAAAGCACTGCACCCCCACCCACAGGCCAAGCCACGCTGACCCCAGCTGCCTCCTCGGCCTTTGGGCACAGATCTCTTGTCTGGGGAGCTGACAGGGCTGGAGAGCGGAGGGGGAGCAGGTACCACTCCTTCCCCACCACATGCGCATGTCTGGTCCGATGGGCATGGTGAGCGCACTTCCCTCAGAGCCCACTTGCATGGCCGGGGGGGCCTGGAAGCACACATGCTATTTCAGATCACCCAGATGAGGGTGGCCACTGTGCTCTGGAGGAATGCCAGGCCTGGGGTGGCTAGAGCAGCTGGAGCTGCTGGACTGGGAACTGGGAACCCCCCCCCACTACTGAGCATGAGTTTGTGAACACGTGCTCCCCAGTTCGTGGCATCAGCTCTGTGTCACACAATTCAGCTGTGGCCTGACAAGTGCAAGGCAACCCTTCAAAATGTGACCCCAGTGTACAAGACACAGCAGTGCCTGCCTGAGTCTGCCAGCAGCCTGAAACAGTATCTCAGAGGTGGGAACGGCTCTATTCACATGAGCATGGAATGTTGACTCTGGAACCTAATGATTACAGCGTAAATGCTAACTCTTAACTATTTCAGTGCTGCCCATTTTGGCAAAAGTATCCAGCTAACGGGTTTATGCCACTAATCCTAGCTGCCTCCTGCAATTCCCCAAGGGCCAAAAGCCCCAGCTGGCCCCTACCCAGCTTCCCCATCACAGCTTCAACACAAGGCTGTGCAGCACACAAAGAGGGACAGCGCAGAATGCACTGCAGTGAATATCCAAATCACAGCACAGAGGAGAAAGTGGGGCAGCCAGGGGGCACTGCACTGTGGGCTTTAGTCACTCACAGACTTAATGCCATCAAAACCTGCGGTCTCAGATTTAGCATCTGCCTCAGAATCTCAGCCAGCTGCTCCCGAGCACTCAGCACAGGGCTAGTGCCAGCCAACTAAACAGTGAACAAGCCCCGACCCGTCCTCTCAGCAGGATCGGGAGATGGCGGACTGAAGGGCTGCTTTGCAGAAGCACTGATGTGGGGTGGACCTCTAACTGTGTGTGCGGGGGTCATTCCCATGACTGCAGTTAGCCTCCATTGGGTATCTAGACACCACGGTGAGTTCTCCAGGGTTTTGGCCTGTCCCAGTCCCCCCCACCACTGGGCCTCAGATGCCGGTCAGGAGGCAGGTGGCCCTCCAGAGAGTCAGCTCTGGATGGGTCTGGAGCTCCAGTCTGCAGCCACAACTCCCCTGCGGCCCCCCAAGCGCTGGCTCCCCGCTGGAGACTCACCCTGGGAGTTGCGCAGCACAATCTTGTACTCGGTGGCACCCGGGACACCAGTCCAGGCCAGCCGGATCCTCTTCCCCACGGTATCAATGACCCGCAGGTCAGAAATGCGGCCCACTGGGGCCTCCACTCCTGCAAGACAAGACAGCGCTAGGGCCATGGCTCGGAGCTGGGCAGGCAGAGCCTGGGACACCATGCAACACTGGAAGGAGAGGGCAGGGCACCACAGACCTATGGCACAGTCAGAACAGGCCTGGCAGGGCCAGGAGATCCTGCCCTCGCCCAGTCCATGGGGTTCCTGGCACCCCCGCTGCTGCCTGGACGGAGGCTCCAGTGCAGGGGAAAGGGCAGGGCAGGGATCGGTTTGATCACGGTTTGCCCAGCACCCAAGTTGCTACCTTTGAAAACCTACAGTCAAGGAGCTCCAGGGAAGGGGGCGGGTTGGTCATCCCCATGCAGTCTGGGCCTGGCAGGGGGCCCAGCATTCAGCAATGACCCCACCCATGCTGCCAGGCCAGAGCCTAGCGGGGTGAGTCGGGAGCAGAGCAGGGGCCCTGTGCTGGGGACGTCACTCACTTGGAGGGCCACCCACCCCAAAAAAGGCTGGTAGGATGTCACAGAGCCACTTGCATTGTGCACTGGGCACCTCCAGGCTCTGGGATCCCTCTCCTCTGCCCACTCCACCCATGCGGGCCCCAGAGGCTTTCACTCACCTGTCTGGGAGATGGTTACGGGTGTGGCCACCTCCCTCCCGTCGTACAGTGTGTAGAGGGTGATGCGATATTCCGTGGCCGGCTGCAGGCCGGTGAGCTGGTAGCTGTTGATGTTGGTGGGCAGGGACACAGTCTGTGGGGGCTCAGCACCTGAGAACCAGAATGGGGTGGGGAGGGATGAGGCAGTCACTTGCTGCTTCCCAGCCCCGAATCTCAGCACCTCCCCTCCCCTTAGTCCTCCCAGAGACCCCGGCACCGGCAGCTGGATCCCCCTGAACTGCTTGGCCGGTCTGTGAGCCAGACCTGGAGCCCAGCTGAGCCTGAGGAGACCAAGGGTGAGGATCTATCACCCTACCCCGACCAGACACGGCATTTCAGCCTCTCCAGTAGCCTTCCCCGCCCCCTGCCCTGGGGACCTGGCCAGCCTACCTGTTGCTCTTCTCCACTCCAGCCGGTAGCCACGGGCATCGCGGATGATGTTCCAGGCCACCTGGATGGATGTTGGGCCCAGAATGACGGTCCTCAGGGACTGGACTATGCCCGTTTCTAAAGGAAGGACAGACAGATGGCCAGGTTGAGCTCAGGAGCATGAAGGCTCTCGACAGAGCCTGGAGCCCACCGAAGGGAAACACTTAGGCTTCCAAATCCATCTCCCAAGCTGAGCCAATAGCTGGGCTCCCGCCAGAGAAGCCCTCTGGGAAGTGAGGTGGTGGGCCTCAGTCCAGTGCCCACCACCACAGCTGTCGCTAATTACCCCCCGGCTGGGCTGCATACCCTCCCCCAATGGAGGGTCCTTCCCTGGCAGCTCGTGGGGGAAGCCAGCTCTGGCACTGCCTCGGCGGGGCCTGCTCTGGGTAGGGATTCAGTCTGCAGGGCTGGCAAGCTGGGGGCTGCACTGGCGAGAGAGCCACTATGCCAAGAGAGGGAATGAGAAGGGAGGAACAGCAGGGCTGGGGAGACGGCCACTCCACTCCCTCCCGCAGGCCGCACTGGGGCTGACATCGGCACATGCATGCTGGTGTCCTGTCTGGGTGGGTAGTGGTGACCCTTTGCCCTGGGCTAGCCACCTCCTGCTCCCCCTCCCTCCCCTCGTGCTGTGATCTCCCCACTCCTAGCATCTCTGCCCCTGGGGTTCTCCACCTCTCTGGGCCTTTCATGAGCTTGAATCAAACAAAAATGGCCTGTATCCAATATCAGTAGTACCATTCTTGGCTCGCAAGCCCAATGGCCTGGAAAGGCCCAGAAAGGCCCAGGAGCCCCGGCAGAGCTCCTGTGAGCCCCCTACAGAGGGCTCCTTCTTCATCCTGCCTACACCATGGTGGGGCACCAGACAGAGCAGCCCCGGGCCAGGCCTGGAACAACTGACGCTCCCATCCAGAAAAAGACATGGCAACATTAACTCCCCATCTCCCTCTGCTTTTGAACATCTCCAGAAATGTCTGTGCCATGGGGACACCCCCAGGGCTGAGCCCCCCCTTACAATAGGGGCCTCCCTCCCCAGGGACCTGTGGGAAAGGAAAGGCTACTGTGCCCTGGCCTGGAGAATGGCATTAAACCCCTGGAGACCCAGCCAAGGGCACCAGGGATGGTACTGCTGGGGGCAACCAGCAGGGGTACTGTCAGGACTGTTTCTGCAGGAGCAGCCCCAGCCTCCTCCCCACTCAACTGTAGGTGCCACCTCATCCCGCTTTCTGGACATTACAAAGCGCTCTCTCAGCCAGGATCCCTTCAGTACCATATCAATACCCCCCCAGCCAGACCAGGATGCAGAGCTGCTGTGTCCCGCTGTGCATCACTGTCCCATGAGAGGGACACCAGCCAAGCCTGGGGCCACGTGCATTGCTAGTACTTTGTGCTGCCCCAGCTGTTTGTCCTATCGGCCCTCTGGACATACTCAGAGCGTAAGCTCTTGGGGGCTTGACCTCTCTCTTCATTACATGTGCATGGGTGTTCATCTGTGACACAAGAATCTCTTCTTGCCAACTGGCGAGGAGCACAGAGGGAGTGCACAGGGCTTATTGGGATCTCCTGGATCTGGTACGTATGTTCTAGTTCACCAAAGAATGCCGTGCAAGGTCACAAACAAAAGACTCATCATCAGTATCGGGAAACGCATGTACAGAGGTTTCATAAGGAGTTATGTGCATACACTGAAAATTATGTTTTCTAGGTAAAGTCTAGGGGACTGGTCACCAACAAAGGTGAAAAACAGGTTTTCTGCCAGTCAAGAAATGTTTCTCTATCTGACTGCTTACATGGAAATGAAGTATTGTCTGCTTCACAATGGGTCTCCTCTCAGCAGGCTGAATTGAATGCTAACAAAGTTTTGCAAAGGCTTCAGAGAGGAAAAAGTAATAGGAAGAAGCAAACAGTGGGCAGGGAGAACAATACTTGACGTGCACATCAAAGATTTGCTCTAATATATTTGGGGGCAAAGAAGACACCCTGGCATCGTTCACCTAGGAAACAAACGGACTGTGAGATTACTTCATGAAAGAGGGGTCTCCATCAGGCTTGGCTGAAAACACTGGTAAGCACGTTGGGCGAGCTCTGCTTCTTCAGACAGGAGGAGAAGTTGTTAATGAAGTTATCTTGAAAGCTGGTGATGATTTTGTTTTGTATGTAACCATTTATTTCCGATACCCTTACTCACCATCACAGGAATCTCTGTTCTTTGATGATAAACCTAGTCTAGTTTTCACTATCAATATATCTCAGTGCTGTGTGCTAAGCAAAGTGCTGCTCCTGAGCTCAATCTGACAAGCTGGTGCATACGGTTCCTTTGGGAACAGCAGGCCTGGTAATTCTAGGAGTGGCCGGTGGATCAGGGGCTGGACGTTGCACTGCATGCTCTGAGGACTCAGGGATTGGCGTGCACCGATTGCTATCTGTTCAGAGAGCAAGGCCTGGGGGGATCTGGAAGGCGGTGCTTGGGCTGCCAGTGGCTGCCGGGAGCTGATCCACAGCACGCACAGACATGACCTCCTCATGCTAAGGACAGGTGGTGCTGAGGTGCCTCGCTCCTGGGGAGTGTCACAATCTATACAGGGCTTAGCACAATGGAGCCCTGACTGGGGCCTCTGGGTGCTACCATAGTACAAATACTACACTTATCCCAAAGAGAGACCAGCTTCTTGGCACAGACCCTGCCCCCCACCCCTCAGCAGTGGGAAGCCTCTCCCATGGACATGCACACACCTGTTCTTCTCCTAATGGAGGCTGGGGGCCCCTCCACTTGCCCGTAGAGTGAAGTGACCGTCAGCAGGTAATCTGTGTCTGGCTGCAGCCCTGTCAGCAGGTAGGAATTCTTGCTGGCATCCACATCAAATTTCCGAATGTCCTGGCCTGAGATAATCCAGAGCAAAAAGGCTTAAGGCACAATTCCAGGCCATCTGTTCAAATGACAGCCCCATGCAACACCAGAGTCTCCACATCAGACCAGACCAACCGCCGTTCCAGTCTGCTATCCCATCTCCTGATTGCACAGGGCCAGAACTGCGCTGCTAATCCTGTATCCCTGCCTCCACGACACAGTAGATCAAATCTAGTCTGGCATCCAGCCTCCCGCCATACACCAGGCCACACCCCAGGCCCATCTCATCAGGATTTGGATTCTGGGCTGCCAAAGGCCAGCAAATATCCTGACACCACTCCCACACCCGGCCACATGTGGCTTTGTCAGTAAAAACTGTTCATGTTAATAGAGAAGCTGGGGGATGATTGAACAAGAGAACTCCCCCCACTCCACCTCAGACACAGGTGACTAACATACAGGGCCTGATCCTACCTATCCTCCACAAGCAGGACTCCCACAGTTCTATGCCCAGAGGTTTGCAGGCCTGGGCCCTGCACCTGTGACCCAGATGTGTGGGCCTTCCTGGAGGGATTCAGCAATGGCTCTGTCACAGGCGCCAACTTTTGTTGGCGCCGGTGGGTGCTTGCACCCCCCTCCAACTCCACCCCCTCCCTGCCCCATTGGATCCCTCCCCAAATCCCCGCCTCTTCCCCCAGCGCGCCGCATTCCTCCTCCTCCCCGCTCCCTCCCAGGCTTGCGCGAATCAGCTGTTTGGCAGCGCAAGCGCTGGGAGGGAGGGGGGAAAAGCAGGATGTGGCGGCGCGCTCGCGGAGGCAGAGGTGGAGGCGAGCTGGAGCAGGGGGGTGGGGCCACGGGGAGCTGCTGGTGGGTGCTCAGCACCCACCAATTTTTCCCCGTGGGTGCTCCAGCCCCGGAGCACCCACAGAGTCGGCACCTATGGGCTCTGTACAGACGACACAGCTGACCCGGCCGAGAAGCTGCGCAAACCCCAAAGCGCTTGGAGAGGTCATTTCCAGGAACACACGGACACCTTTCAGTCTGGTGTGACTGGGCCTGATTCTCCATGTGTCTCAGGGGCAGAAGGAGAGATCCCCAGTACCCACAGAACAGGGCCTCGCAGCCCCTGGGACTGGCACAAGGCCCAGCAGGAGAGCAGGTACGGATCTGAATTGCCTTCAGTGTCATAAAGATCCTCTTGATAGAAGTTCATCGCCCCAGCCCCCTTTGCTCATTCCATTCCTCCCCCCACAACTTTCTTCCTCTCACCCCCAACTGCTCAAGCAGCTCTGCCACCTGCCCTCCTCTTCTCCCCCTGTACGTGCTTGTCTGCCACTTGGTTCTCTTCTGTCTTGGGCTTCTTGCCCAGCCCCTTGGTCCCCTTCTCCCCTCAGCATGCTGCCTCACTCACCTGTCCTCCAGCCACTCTGGAAGCTCCAGTCTCTCCACACTTCAGCAGCAGGTGCTTCAGAGAACACGGTTTGGGACCCTCTGCCCCATAATGCACCTGACTACAGAAGAGCCCTGTCCCATGGGAGGGGTGTATCTGCTCTGCTGGAAGGCATGCCAGTCCCCCACCCCCACCCACCCATTCCTTAGAGCCTGCACCACAGCTCAGCACACTGGGGCCCCCACCATCCAGCCAGGAGGTCTGGGGAACCGTGTCCATCGTTCAGTCTACAGCACCCTGCCACTGGTTTTTGGGAAGGGGAGAGAGCTGTAGTGAGTCAAGCAGACCTACCTGAGGGGAGCCCCCAGGAGACCCGGTATCCAGTAGCTCCACTCACACCCCGCCAGGTCACCAGCATGCTCTGCTGGGAGATGTTCTGAACTGACAGCTGCTGCACCCCTTCCAAACGCACTGGAGGGAGAGGGAATCAAACAAAACACAACCATGGCACAAATGTGAGACCCAGAGAGATCAGCCTTCATGCAACCCGCAAGGCAGCCAAAGGATACTGCAGAGTCCAGCCCAGCCCAGCCCCCCCTACTGCACTGCCAGCTCACATAAGAGACACAAGAACAATAACCTTAACTCTGCCCCTAAATAAGCACAGCTCCTTCACTAGTAATCTCAAAATATAAATACATCACCAAACTCTTCAGAAAAGGACACCTTTTTAAAAAGAAAAAAAAGTCATTTGGGGCAGGAAGAAAACCCAGTCAGATGCCTTCTGTGCAGCCCCAGACTCTGGCTGTCTGAGCAGATGGTACTTACGGGTTCGGCCAGTTAGCTGGGCCGGTGCTGCCGTCTGCCGCTGGGAGATAGGCTGAAGCGTGACCACGTAGTCAGTGTTGGGGCGCAGGTTGCTGAGCGTGACGGACACGGCGTTGGCTCCCAGGCTCATCTCCTCCGCTTGAGCTTCACCTGGGATGGGCACAGACAGCGACGCATGAGTGAGGCCCAGCACCTGGTGGGGGGACTATCCATTGGAAGGCAGGGGGCTCTGGCACTGCAGGACACCACCCCTGGCCTTGGGCAGGCTGCAGAACACAAGCTGTGTGGGGCTTCAGACAGGCCTTTCCTGCATGCAGTAGGTCAGGACTGGAACACTCTGGTGCCCAGGTGGGGTGGCGAGGGGGAGCCCCAGGTACATGCAGCACAGAACACACTTGCCCTCCCACATGTGCAAGCACATGGCTAGCAGCATGAGCAGACATGCTATGTGCGCTCAGCCCAGCTCTGTGCCCCCATTCCCAGCAGCAGGGCTCAGCCAGTGCAAGAAGCTAAACAAAGATCAGGGGCTCAAGCCAACCAGGCAGGGCTGGGCAAAGGGAGCGAGGGCCCTGCTTGCACTCCCTGGCAGGGAGCTGTAGGCAAGTCCTGGCACCCCGGGCCTTGCAGATGCCATGAAAGGAGGGGAAGATGGCAAGGAGAGCTCCACACTCAGTTCTAAGCTGGCCCCCTCAGCCAGGCACTTGGTCTGGGCAGGGCACACGGGTGGTTCTGATGAGCTCAGCGGTGTTTTTGTGCCTTCGGGGCCAGCATTCTCTGCTGGGGAGATGCACGGCCGTGGTAGCCGGGCGTGGCAGCATGCAGGGCGAGGCACGCTGGGAGTGCTGCCAGGGCCACATGCACTGGGATGGCTGCAGGCTTGGGAGGGGCAGCTCCAGGTGCAGCTTCCTACAGAAAACAGCACGGGGGGGGCCTGGAAATCAGCTACAACCCTGCCCGAACCCCAGCATGGACAGAGAGCCCCTGTACATACACACACACACACACACACACACACACACAGAATCCCTTCTGAGCACACACTGCACCGCTATGTACATACCTCCATATGTACACCCTCAGCACATGTACTGACCTCCTCCCGTACACACAAACCAGTCCTGTACACCCACACCCCAGCACCCACACACCCAACCCCCTTCCAAACCGCCCCACACACGTACAAGCTGGATATACAGAAGCACCTGGGCACACACATTCCCCCCCACAACACATACAGCTGCAGCAAGAGGGGAGCTGGGGCAGGAACCCACTTTCACCTACGGGGTGCCTGGGCGTCACTCTGGCACATGAATGTCACACACTGTATCACAGAGATCCTGGTGGCACCGCCCAGCCCCTTCGGGCACAGCGGCTGCCCTGCACTGACCCCAGCACAGCACAGCCTCCCAAGGGAACAAGAGGCCATTCAACAGGCTCTGTGTCTGCCTGCCTCGGAGGGAGTCCACATGTCTGTCTGCTTCTTGGGGTTTGTAGCGAATAAAGTTGCTGGACAGACCGAGGGTGGGGGGAAAGGAGGTCATACAGCCAAAGAGCGAAGAGAGCAGAGATCCATGCTAGCTGCTTCTCCTCCAACCCTCCCACCCAGCTGAGTCCTAGGGCAGTGGAAAAAGGCCTGCCCAGGCTTGGATTCCCCTGCCCTCCTGGAATGGATCCAGGCTCCACACCCTACACATGAGGGACGAGGGTCTGGAGCCAGGCTGGCTGGCAGTTCTCCTGTGGAAGAGAACACAGCCCAGGGAGACGTTCCCACATTGCAGAGCCACAGGAGAGGCAGCGCCTCCCCGGCCCAATCGCCCGCACTCCGCCCTCACCTCGGGCCACGTAGGTGAGCCGGTAGCCCTGCAAGTTCTCCAAAGCAGCTCCCCAGGCCAGTCTGAGGAAGGACGGCCCAGCCTCCACCACTCGGAAATTCGACACTCCAGACAGGGCCCCTGAAAGAGAATGGGGCAAGGCCATCACCCTCACACACTCCTGCCCCAGAGAGCACCCAGCCCTTTGGGCAGGGTCAAGAAGTGCCTTGGTGCCAGGAGGAAAGCAAGCTGCCCTGGGGCAATGCGGGAGGGGGCAGGGGTGATCATTAGCCAGTCTGGGGCCAGGACCCAGCATGTGGCGGAGCAGCCCTAAGACTGTTACACTCCACTGGGCAGCGTCCTGGGGATTCTAAACATTGACTCAAAGACTCCCCATATACTGTTCCTCTCTCCCCTGCCAAGCCCACCAACGCCCAGAGCTAACATTATTGTGGGACCCACCAAAAACCATCAGCACGAGAGCTCGGTGCCTGGCTTGGCAGCGGCACTCACACCCTAGTGATCCCAGCCACAGAATCCAAGATGGCGGCAATGATGGAGTGAGCACATGGTGGGGCCACAGGGAGTCGCCCATTCCCTTGGGAAGCCTGCCACGGTCACAGGCATGAGGAGTCCCACTCACCCCAAACTGAGACGGAAGTGGGTCCAGCAGCCCTGTCCCATCCTTGGGTGGGCTCGCAGCCAGCCCATTCTCTAGCCACTGCCCTGAGAAACCAGGCTCTAGCCCTGTAATGGGGCCCATCCTCAGACAATGGTGCATGGACATGGTAGCCAACCTTTCTAGCCCCAGGCTGGACTTCAAGCTCACCAGGCTCTTCCATCAGGAATCCCCCTGGCTCAGAGGGCACCGGGGAGCCTGGGAGTGCAAGCTGGCTCCTGCATCTGGGCAGGCGGACAGGGCATGGGGGCAGGGGAAAATGCGCTGCATGGATGGGGAGCTGGGCGGGTTACTCACCAGTGCGTCCTTTGCCAGAGACCGACTCGCCGATGCTGTTGGCATACTGGGCGATGACGGTGACCAGATAATCCGTCCCTCCTCTCAGCTGGCTCAGCACGGCGCTCGTCTCCCCGGGACTCAGGCTGACCTGTTCAAAGGCACCCAAAGGCATTCCCCTCTTCAGCCAGAGAGATCGAACATCCTGCCTGCTTGCCAGCCTCCTCCTGCTGTCCCACTGAGCCAGGCCCCATGGAGCGGGTGGGCTCCAGATGGGATTTTGCAACATTCACTTCCCTAAGGGGTTTGGTGCTGGAGCAGGGATCAGAGCTGCCGCCACGAGAAGCCAACAGGCTCCATTCACCCACAGGGCAGGCTGCAGGCTGCACGCACACCCTTCCCAGTGTGCCTCAGCCAGAGAAGCCCCGCTTTCCCAGCAAGGAGGACAGCTCCGTCCCACTGGCCTCTCTGCTGAGCCTGCCCAGCAGGCGGATCTCCAGACTATAGCTGGAAAGGGAAGCTCTCACCTCTTGCATCTCTGCTGTCACTTGCTGCCCCAAGCCCGTGAGCGGCACGTACTGGACTTTGTAGCCTGTGACCGGGCCGCCCGCTGCAGTCCAGCGGATCCTCAGCATGTCGACCGCCTGCTCCATGAAGACCAGGTTGGATGGGCCACTGTACACCCGTGGACCTTAGGGGAAGGGAAGCAGCAGTCAGGCTCCCTGATGGCACCACACCTTCCCCAGGGTTGACACGCACAGAACCGTGGCGCATACTCTAACTCCCAGCTGCCCAAGGCAGGGAGCCCGCTCGGGGACGGATGGCCTCTGCCACGCCAAAGAATGTTATCAGAAAAGAATCATTAAAACGTTCTCACTCAAACTTCCTGGGTGGAGGGGAATCAACTGGGCAGGGCAGCACCTGTGGGGCCAAAGCGAACCGACACAGGGCCCCAGTCAGCGTCCCATCACCACAAAACAGTGCCGCAGCGTGACACTGGCACTGAGCCCTAGACAGCGAGAGGCACTTCCAGGATGGGGCTCATCTCCAGGAACACAGGGGAAGGTGGAATTTAAACCTTCCATTGCAGCACCAGAAACAGCTGCGACAGCCAGTGCCTGAGACTCAGAAAGAGAAGTATCTTGCCAGGCAGAGCCAAGTGCAGACAGGGCCCAAATTGTCCCAGTGGAGAGATTGCTAAAATCCCTCGGCTGTAATTGTCTCATGGGTTAGACGGGCACTGCAAACAGGAGATCAACACAGCATTCCAAAGCACGTCCAGGGCTGAGCCATCGCAGCGGGAGGCCGAGAGCGCTAGCTGCAACACACCCCTTACCCGTCTGCAGGACCCCTCCGGTGCTGGCACACACCCTCTGAGACACCAGCGGCAGCAGGGTGCCCAGGATCTTAAAGTCATTGACGTAGAAGAAGTAGTCCTCTGTGGGAGTGGAGGCCACACGCATGAGCTCCGCGCGGTCTGCGTTCTTGATCCCTGTAGGGGGTGGAGAGCCGGTGAGTGGGCACCGGGGTCTCTCTCCTAGGAATAATCCCCAGCTATGCCCTGAGCCATGTCCCCCTCCACCCATCGGTTGGCACAGTGGCACCCCCCATTCTTACTCGCCCTAGCTGACTGCTACAGCGTCAGACGTTCATGGCTAGCTGCAGCACATTATAGGTGTGCTGGGTTCCCAGGGCCCTTGGCCCGTCCCCTCGGCCTCTCCCACTTCTCCTTGCTGGCCACTGCAAGATGTTACAGGGCACTGCAAGTCAGAGCTCCCTAGCCTCACACCCTGTACCATCCACTTCCCCCCACTCATGCTAGAGGATCAGGCTCATTCCAAGCCCGGCCAGGTGCTTCCACTCTCATCCAGCAGCTGCACTGGCCAAGATCAGAGGATGGATGCCCGGCTCTGCCTTCCTCCTAGAGCTCCCCTGGACCAAAGGGACACCGTGGCCAGCGGTGGGTGGGAGTCCTGAGCAGCCTGGTGAAGGCGGAGAGACCCCCGGGCTCTTGTCAGGCACTGGAGTCACTTACCCACAGAAAAGACCTTAGTGCCCTGAGCCTTCAGCTTCACAGAGGGCTGCTCAGTGTCATCTTGAGACTTGCCATCTGTGATGAGGATGCAGACCTGCCAGGAAGGGGCAATGGCGTGTCAGGAGGGGGCTGGCCATCAGACTCAACACGAGCCGTGGGGCCCACCTCAGGTGGGAGGGGCCCCAAGGCTAGTGCCCCCAGCCGGCTCAGCCAAAGCATAGCAGATGTGAGACAGGGACCCCCAGATGCTGAGTTTGAAGGGGCCCATGGTGGGAAGAAGAGGAGCAGAAGTCAGACAGTCCCACTGGGCTGGGGTGTGTTGCCTCCCCACGGTCTCCCCATTACAGAGAAAGAGTTGGAACTGGACAGATGTTACCCAGGGGTTCGAAGGAAAGGGGATGTAGCGACCCACCCGCTCCTGCCAAGCACCCAGCTCTGCTCCCCCTCCAGCATGGAGAGATCCGAGTGACCGTCCTAGCCATCAGCACGCTCTGGCCCCATTGGAGGAGAGCCGACAGGCCAGCGTTTTGCTCTCACATTCCCTGGCCGTGGCATAAGCAGGGTCTCTCTAGAGGTACCTTTGGGACCCCGGCCCGGATCTGAGTGGGCCCAAAGAAGTTGTCAGCGATGTACCGGAGACCGGCGCCCGTGCGTGTGTTCCCGCCTTTGTAGCTCAGCTGCTGGATGGCCCTCTTCACCTCCGTCCCGTTGGGATGCTGGGAGAACGTGAACTCGAGCCTGGGGACAAACGCAATCCCAGGGGGATGGGGGGAAACCACAACATAGCCAGCTTCCAGCCTGAGCAAGATCCCTACACAGTAACTGCATGGCCCACATGCTTCCTTAGGGGAAGCTACCAGGGCACCCACAGGGTTTCTATAGGGGGTGGGTCATTTCCCATGGATCCCTAGGGTGCAGCTCCACGGAAGCAAGGCAATGACACTACAGAGGTGGTCAGGGGGTTCTCTGTAATGGGGCTCCATAGAAAGTGCGCTGGGGCTGCAGGGGCAATAGGGGTAATTAGATATTTTATTCTCACCCTACTCCTGCCCAGCCTGGGACAATTAAGGAGATTCACTGGCTACCACGGGGCGCTGAGAACAGTGGCCATGAGCAGAGGCTGGGCCTCCTCTGTCAGTAGCAGGTGTCAGGCACCTGCAGCACTCCCTCCCCAGCAGATAGCTCTGGGGCCACACCGAGCACCCCGAGCTCCCTTGGCGACTGGAACCCTGAGAGCCACCCCCAGGAGCACAGAGAGGTGGCTGCACCGGGGACAGGGCTGCAGGAGCCTCCCGCACCGTGTGTCTGGCATGGGGGGACAGGACCATCAGGACTCACCTGGGGTCGTCGCTGTACTGCACTGCCCCGAATCGCACCGCGCTCTCACCGACCACATGGACAAAGGGCCTAACCAGGTCCTCCATGAAGGCTCGGATCATGCGGAAGTTGGTCCTCCCGATACTGGAGGATCCATCCACCAGGAACACGATGTCTGCCGCATAGACATTGATGCACGTCCCTGCAAAGCAACCATCAGCAGCTCAGGGCTAACTCCCTTTTCTCCAGCATGCAAGGGCCAGAGGGAACTGTCCTAGCCCTGCCATGGAGGCTCCCTCCGCTGGCTTAGCCCTTCCAGCCTCTTACCTCAGGAGCCCGCACTCCTCCCACAGAGAGATCCAAGACAGCCAGAGTCCATGAGTCAGGGCAAGGAAGCCCAGACCTCAGGGCCACATTCTCCAGCAAGGAGATAGGTTCAGTGCCAGAGGCCATGACAGCCTGTCCCTCTAATACAAGGAGTTCCAGGGCTGAGCGGATGTGGAGCAGACAGGGCCACCCAGGCAGGGGCGGGGATATCCCATGAATACGCAGGGGATGAGCACTGCCAGCAGCCAGGGCTTGTGGGCTGACAGCTCCCCCAGGGCCCACTGACCAGGAGCCCCCTTAGCAGAGAACACGATGGATTTTCTCAGACTAGTACCACGTTCCTCCCTGCCAACCACAGGCCTTGCAAAGGGGCCAGGGACTCACCAGCGAGGCAGCAGCTGCCCCTCCCCTGGGAATCACTCCAGCCCCCCGACATCCCACATCCCTTCAGGGATAAGTCCCTGCCAAGAGGCGGCTGGGGCTGCAGGTCCTACATAGGCTGAGAGAGGCAGCTCCATCACCCTGGCCCATGGATCCTTCCTCCTCCTCCCCTCATGCCACAAGCATAGGTGCTGGAAGTAGGGGTGCTGCCGCACCCCCTGGCTTGAAGTGGTTTCCATTCTATCCAGGGTTTACAGTTTGGTTCAATGGCTCTCAGCACCCCCACTGTACACATTGTTCCAGCGTCCCTGGCCACAAGCCTCCTCTGAGTGTCAGCACAGGGCAACTCCCAGCCTCCCCCAGGAAAAAATCCCTGGGCTCCTTCATGCCCCAGCCCAGGGGAGGGGGCAATCATCAAGCCTGTGGGGGAAGGGAGAGACAGCAACTCCCAGGCTGAGCCTCAGGGAAGCGCAGTCTATATCCTGGAGCAGAACAAGGCTGCAGGGAGCCCTCTGGTCCATCCCAGGAGCACAGGGGCAGCAGCAAGTCAGCAAGGGAGATGCCGCACTCCCCCCACTCGCAGTCCTGAGGGTTGCCAACTGTCTAATAATCACACAAACCCAAACACCCTTGTCCTGCCCCTGCCCCGCCCCTTCCCGAGGCCCCACTGCTGACCCGCCCCTTCTGAGGCCCCGCCCCCACTCACTCCACCATCCCCACCCCCTGTTGCTCACTCTCCCCCACCCTCACTAGTCTGGGGCAGGGGGTTGGAGTGCAGGAGGGGGTGCAGGCTCTGGGCTGGGGGTTGGTCTGAGGGATTCGGTGTGTGGGAGGGGGCTCTGGGCTGAGCCTGGGGCAGAGGGTTAGAGTGCAGGAGGGGGTGTGGGCTCTGGGAGGGAGTTTGGGTGCGGGAGAGGGTTCAGGGCTGGGGCAGGGGGTTGGGATGCATGCAGGAGGGGGTGCGGGGTGCAGGCTCTGTCCGGGTGGTGCTTACTTTGGGCGGCTCCCAGGAAGCGGACAGCATGTCCAGCTCCTAGGCTCAGGGGCAGCCAGGCGACTCCCTGCGCTGTTCCACCCCAAGCGCCGGCTCTGCAGCTCCCATTGGCTGCGTTTCCCGGCCAATGGGAGCTGCAGAGTCAGCGTTTGGGTTGGGGACAGCGTGCAGAGACCCCCTGGATGCCCCTGTGCCTACGAGCTGGACATGCCGTTCACTCCGAGAGCCGCGCAGAGCCATGGCAGGCAGGGAGCCTGCCTTAGCCCTGCTGTGCCGCCAGACTTTTAGCGGCCTAAAATCTCCCGGATTGGCTTCAATAGCCTCTGAGAGATCGAGGATTGGCAACCCTAGCAGTCCTCGTTTCAGGCATGTGGGGACTTAGGGAACCATGAAACATTCAACAAAGTCTGTGTCCCATCCCCTCCCCCACATACACCCCACCCTCCAGTCCCTGTACAATTCAGCGTGGTCACAGCTCAGAACTGCCTGGGCAGCCTGCCAGCGAGTCTGTGCTGGGAGGAGACACCAGGTATCCGACTACAGGGCACAGGCTGGTTTGAGGGAAGGAGCTGGGACCAGCCTGAATTCACCACCCAGCTCTGTGGGCCAAATGCCCTCATCTTCCCTCCCCCAGCTTTTCTGGGACCACGCGGTGTTTCCAGCAAACCCAGCGATGGTGCCATGAGTGGGCCCAGCCCGCAGCCCTTGCCTCACATACTGCCCCTTGGAGAGCTCAGGCAGCACCAACCTTGGTTTCTTTTTTGTGCCGTAACTGGTGCCGGAGCTAGGAGCACAGCGAGAAGCAGGATCCACCCTCTCATCATGGGAGCCTGCAAGACATAACAAGAGGGAGGAGCTGATGCCAGCCAGGGAACAGGAAAACCAATGGGGTGGGGGGAGGGGGCAAAGACACAGCTGAGTTTCATGGATAAAGCCCACCGGATCCTCCCAGGCACCTCACCCCACAGCAGGGGGTGTCACATTAGACCAGTGGCCTGTCTCTGATCAGTGGCCAGATGCAAGAAACCCCCTAGTGGACACTTATGGAACACCTCCCCCAAGGGAAGCGCCTACCTAACCCCAGGTGGTTGGTTCAGGGTCTGAAGCAGGCATTTTTAAGCTGTCTGAGTAACCGTGGATGCTCTTATTGTCTATATAAAGACAGGGCCGGCTCTGGCTTTTTTGCCGCCCCAGGCAAAAAAGCCTCCGGCCAC